CCTGTATTCCGTATACACGGAGAGCTCCTTACAGTATTCCACACCTAATATAGTACAAGTTTAATCCCAAGCAATAAGGCGAATAAAACCAACTCACTACTTCGTTACTAATGTTTGGGCAAAATTGTGTTTTGTTTTGTTTTTTATTCCATACATTGGTGGCGAAAGTATAAAACAGTGCGATCTTTGGGTTGATTGGCACTTTCACATGCGCCAGGATGGGTTCATGTCTGATCTTAGGGGGATGTCTGTGACGTCAAGCTTATATTTCCTTTTAGTTCTCTCTTTTACTGTTCAAGCATGGGACCAGTCTGACCTCGAAATGTTCGATCTTATGGAGGAGATGCGCACAAATTTTTATGAATTCCTGGGCGTCCCTAATGTTGGTCGGATATCATGTTTTATATCATTTTTACGATAGACAGCATCTTCTTCTGAGATTAAACGGGCCTACCGGAAGCTATCGCTGGAAATGCATCCAGATAGGAACCCCAATGATCTAGGTGCTGATGTGAAATTCCGCCAATTATCCGTTATTTACCAAATATTGAAGGATGAAGAACGAAGGCAACAGTAATAACTCAGTTCTGTGTTTTTTAAATATATTTAGTTATGATGAAGCTTTGGAAAATGGTATCCCTGATTGGAAGACTCCTCTCTTCTACTACCGGAAACTGCGAAAAATGTCAAATGTCGAAATCGTCACCTTAATTTCTGTGGTTACTATAACCATTCACTTTGCTACACTATGGGGTTGCGCATTTGAGAGGCGGTGGACTATGGTATGACTGTGAAATACGTGTTTTAACCTTATTTGCTAGCAAGAACAGCTAGAAAATCACATGAAACGTCATAAGGCCTCGGATAGGAAAAAGATGGTCATCGATTTGGAAATTGCGGAGCAGCTTAAAGTCATTAAATGGCCGACTTTTATGGACATTTTGCCTATTGCTTTGGTCCGTGGAACCTTCAACTTCATTTTGGGCTTCCCCACCCTTCTTGGATTACTGAAAAGCATCTTCTGCGATTCTCTTGGGAAGGCGAAGAAAGAGTGGCAAGAACGAAGGGGTACTTTTGTGATTGTCTCCGCTTTTGAATTGGTATAACTTTTCCGTGCATTGGTTTTGTACTACTTTTACCTAGTACCTTTTTAGTCAAAAATATTTGTTTTGACGTGATCCGTTGAAAGTAATACTGCATTAGTAGGCCATGCTTACGAATGACACACTTTTCTTCGCACGAAAGGCAGGCTTCGAAAGCAACTTCACGGCTTTCTTTAAGTTTCTTAAGTTTTCTTTCTGTCCTGCGATCTGTAAGAATGGAGCGGGAAAATTTCACAATTTGGTGGTTCTGATATAGTGTGCTTGGGTCTGAGCTAGGGATGAATCACGTTACATTATCGTTTTGCAGGAACTTCAAATTTTCGATTTCGTACACTCAAGAGCACACCTTCTCATAGGTGAATTTTTAAATTTGTGGTCAAATTCGTGTATCCAACGTCTTTTTTAAAATTACGATATGTTTGAGTCTCTATCAGACCCATCACTCTATGGGAGTGATCTGTACACTTCTGCCTGGTTGAAATCTTGAAGTTTCTGCCTCATCATTGGGGGAAAAAGAAAATTTGCCGCGATTTGTGCACTTTCTTCATTGTTTTAAAAATGTGTCTATTTATACCAATGAAGTGCTTAATTTTGTCACTCTATCGTAGTTAAACCTTCTTTCGATAAAGTGCCTGTTACAATCGGAATACTAAATTATAGTCCTACGTTTTACGACTTTCCGCGTGTCTTTCCAAGTACGTGTGCCAACTTCTTATTACCCGTAATGGTCCGATCTGAATTGGAAGTTCTTTATTTCCATAATTCTCTATACTGGTACCGGTCTAGTGAAAAGTGCAAGTGCTAGGGTAGCTGACTTCGTATTTTAAATAGAGATGCGTCTTTGAGTATAGCTCTACACATCGATAGGGGGCAATGTTCTATAATATTTTATTCGGCAAGAAATGACAATATCATGCACTGCATTCTCATAAAACGACATTAAGTAAATATTTGAGTTTGCCATGTAATTTTAAATATCTATGCTTCTTTCAAGAATGATGCATGAAAGGGGTTGGACAATAGAGGTCAGAAATTTACGTAAAATCGTGACCACTCTCTTTCTCTAACTTTTTTGCCCAAATAAAATTCGGACTAATTACAAGCTCTCAATAAACGTTACTTAGAAAAAGCACTAACCCCTCCGTAGATGCCATGACCTGGCTCTACTTTTAGAGTCACACCCCTTTTCAATAAAGCTTTCTGATATCTAAAGTGGATTCTTAGGTGGGATTTCGAGATGTCTGCACCCTGAACCCTTCTACTTTATTTGCACTGCCTCGTGGGAGGCTTGTCACCCCATTTAATATGCTCTAATGATTATGAACTTCACCGTGTAGCATGAAACTTTCCCCTTTTCGATAAAATACCTGCACCCATCGAAGCTCTTGGCTAAGATCTTGTACTCCTTTTTCGTCAAATGTCGAGTAATTTCGCCGTCTTAACCTCTTTGGCAGTCCACCTTTTTGCAAATACTGTTACCTCATATTTCTCATAAAGTGCTTTTAAGCCTTCGGTTGATGAACGTTGTCTTTACTAATGAAGGCTGTATTTTTGTTTTCTGCAACAATATGATATGTCTCGCTACCATGAGCTATAAAATTTAGGGGCTTACAAAAGCATCCGATTGCTTATATGCATGCTTTATAGGTCGCAGGAATGTGTCCATCTATCAGTACGATCCTTGTAATTGTACCTAAATACGTTCCTATTATTTTCAACCCTAATATCGTAAACTATCGGTGGAACGACCGTGGTGGGTGTGATTTGAGCTTGTCCGCTTTACTGTCCGAGTTTAACCTTGCTGCAAAGCCGTAGAAACTTCGCGCAAAATTCCTCATATTATATGGAGAAGGTGCGAAATCGGAATGAAATAGCCATACACTTTTGTATCCAATTGAAGTGCATGGTTAAACTCATTCATGAGCAAGGAATTTTTTCCCTGATGCTTTTGCTAGGAACCGAAAATATCCATTTCGATACTTAAGTCTCCATTTAAAGTGAATAAGTTTGGCCTCATTTTAAGCAAGTGTAACAAATATTACCGTTATCCTTGTCACCAAAAATGTTTAAATTGCCTACCAAATGGTTGATGGCCGAAATAAATTGTAATTCAAGTGTTAGTTTGGCCGTCTTTAATGCCAATGAGACATAAGGCAGCTACAAATTCTACTTCCATAAGATGTTTTGTCTCTAGAAGCAAATCATTTGGTATTTTATTCTCCCAACTACTTACCCTGTTTAGCATGTGGCATGTGACTGTCCGATGCTAATGCCAAGAAAAGGTGGTGGTCATCGCTTGAGGCCTGCAGAATTATCATCGGAGGAATACGAAGGATGTGTATAAGGGTGAGGCAGTATTTGTCTCGTCTTAAAGTGCGATGAAAGGACTTCTTATGGCTAAATTTTGTGGCATTCATTCGAAGGAGTAGGGCTTTCTTCCACTTAACTGATTGGCCGATCCTAACTATTTCTCAAGGAGCTGTTGCTCCACACAGAGTTGTGTCGTGTAGTGCCATACAAATGTGCCTCCGCCGTAGGTATTCTTTGACCTATAGCACGTGAAGAATCCATATTGAACGGTGGCACACGCACAAAGCATGCGTAGTCTTCTGGGAATGGAGTGGTGAGTGCCTTTGAAGTGTTAATTAGGGTATAGATCGGACCGTTTTTTGTCTCAATTTCAAATTACAGCGAATTTCTTACTGCAAATCAGCCATTGAGCAAGCTACCCATCCTCTGTGACACTGCTATAACCTTTACAGCAACAAGAACAACAAATTACTTGCTTTTGAGGGCTATTTTTTCGTCATCTGTTGTTGACGTACGTGTTGGATATCCCCTCCTTAAATGTTGTACAATAAATTTATGAGAAGTTTTCGCATCCTCTTTGAATTCGCAAAGCCGGTGGTATCACTCCTTTTTAGGTAAGACGCTTAATTTATTATCGATAGACACGCTATCTGATCAAATGCCTCTGTCACACCTATAGAATTGAAGAAGGAGCAAGAGGAACGTATCAAACGGAGGGAGAAACAGAAGAAAAGGCAGGTTGAACAATCCAGGATGCAGCATCAGCGAAACCAGCGTGTCGATTTCGATGATATCGATCCCTCCATATACCAGGTGACAAATCTGGTTGTTAAGACCGAGGAGCTTCCAGAAAACACGAACCCTGACGATGAGTCCAAAGACACTGCTTCAAAACCATGGGGCCAAACTGAAGAAATAGCCTTGATCCGATTGACAAATAAGTATCCCGGTGGTTATCCCAACCGCTGGTCAAAAATCGCCCAAGTTATGGGACGAACTGTCAATGATGTCACTGCGAAAGCGACCGAAATCGCCAGTAGTTTGAGCTCTCGGACTCTGTTAAGTCGTAAGCTATCCCGTACCCCAACATCGCCATACTTATCACAGCTGTTCTAGATGCTTTTAACGAAATGGACCTGAGTGAAAATGAAGATGAAAGCGAGGAGGGGAATGAGGAAGACGATTACTACCTCTCGAAGCGGAAGGCAAAGAGGGCTGGGATAAATGTTTTTAAGGAACCGAAACAGGAGGAGATAGCTGTTCCAGATGTAGAAGAAAAGGATGAAGAGCTAGACACCTACGTCAGTCGTAAAAAACAAAAGGCTTCCTCAAGGAGTAAACCTATTGCTATGGTGGTGAGTCAAGAGTCCAGTGGATCGTGGACACAGAAGGAGCAAAATCAGTTAGAAATAGCGATGAATTCGTTCCCCAAGGAGACACCTCATCGATGGCAATTGATCGCTGAATGTGTTCCTTCAAGAACATTGGTGAGTTGTGATTTTGAGCATCACCTTCATATACCTATTGACAAACTAAAAGTAGCACTGCTTTAGCAGACTAAGTAGAAGTGACTTTTTTTAGGGATTATCGTCCTTGATATTTTTCGGGTCTTTTAGGCTGAAGTAATCGATCGAGTGAAGTTTTTGGCTGAGAATACTAAGAAAAACTGCAGACTCATGAATAATTGATACGTATCTCTTATTTTTGGCAATAAAGTGTGATTAGAACATACTTGTCATACAACTATGACCCCGATTCTCTTCTTTCGCTCGTGTTGTGCTATGGCGATATTTTTCTTAAAGAACAAATAGCGAGTTTGAGTCTTCAATGTTTACTTATGAAAAATATTTGTATGCACCCGTTTAGAAGCAAAATTTTCGAAGTTAAAATGACTATACCTACTCCAGTGGATCCTGTATCTGAGAGATTACTGATGAAAGGATTTGTTTGATTAAACCTTACTATTAAGACTAATGATTGCCTTATTATAGCTTTTTGGAAAGACAAACAACTCTAGGAGTTTTGTCATTTTTTGCACGCTGAAACCTTATCTCAGGCAACGGAGCCAAAATTCGAGGTTTGCGCGCCTACGTTTCTCTCTATCAATTACTTTGACGCGCACGATTTGTTGAAAGTAAGGAGGGCCGAGACTAAGGCATAGAAGTTCAGCTTTTTACTTTCTGACCTATTCCTAGATTTCCTTCTGTAACAAACTGGTCACGTGGAATGTGATGCTTTTGGCATCCATTAAGACTGTTTTGGCAAATAGACGAATCCATGGAAGTTTTGTTACGTTACTAAACGTATATACCAATGAAGATAAATTTGCGCTCTCAGTACGCGCCTGCTCACAATGCCTGGCACAGGGTAAAACTGGTTGTTACTTTCGTCTCACAGTGGCAACTCCCATATAGAACTATAAGATCACGCGATGCAATTTAACGCCATTGTTTCCCCATAATTACCTCCACTTCAATATTTCTTCCTTGATCATACCTTCTTTCGGAAATATAATGTGTGAAATATAACTTTCTCAAGGGTTATCAAAACTTCATATAAATGTTTTTAGGAAATACTGGGGAAAAATTGTTGACTTTAGACTTGCCTCTGGAAATAACTTCTCCCCGAAATCAGTTTGTCTAACGCATGACGCAGTGAACTCTCATTAAACCTACTGATTTGTGAAGACCAGCAGTTTACATTACTTGGAGAAGGGTCAGATAAATCTATCCATGTCGTAAGCACGGAAATTCGGCAATCTGCTAGTTGAGTAGCAAGAGACAAACGAGCCTAAACAGGGTTGCATAAACGCCTTACTGACCGCCCTTGTAGCCAGCAGGAAAAACTATGTATTATCTTACAACAGTTTCGTGCAGAGACATTTCTACCCACCACTATAATTCGTAACTACACAACTTACACCTAATATATGGTTAATTTTAACACCGCTGAAATTAAAACGCCGTCTTAAACACTCATTTGGATAAAATGTAGTGAGCGCCCATTAGCTTAGTGGAAAAGCGGACGTGCTCACTGAGGCGGCGGAAAACACTGGCAGTTGTTATGATGATAGGTCCATTGGCCATTCACACCAAGGTAGTATCCGTCGTGGTTGACCTGATGCATTTGGTCCAGAACTGCATCCACGTTAGGCAGAATGTCGTTTGTCACTAGTTGACCGCTGGAGAGGTCATGCGGTTGAGCCAGAACCATCCATTGGCCGGTTAGCGTTCGAACGTACATCATTCTGATTTCGAACAATAAAAGGGTGAGTTTCGGAGTTTATTTAACGTGAAATAAAGTAGACTGCTTATATGAACTAATGATATTTGGATACGGAAATGAGGGGTTTTTACTCCACAACGGTGGAATAAAGCTCGGCTTCTAGTCTTCGAACCCCTCCGTTTGTTAATAGTGGAGATATTTGCGACTCACATGCTTGATATCATTTATCTCTTGTGAGAAACGTCACTTTCGTTGATGCTCCATAGAAGGGTCACATTTAATACAGCAGAAGGTTATCCACTGTGGATAATTGAATCCATAGGAATGCACGGCAAAACGGCCATTAAAAACACGTCAACCGCTTAATGAAAATGGCAAATTTGAACTCTAAACCATGATGACTAACGGTGCTGTTCAAAACCCTTTGTTAAAGCGAACTAGTGATTCGAAAATGATGAAATTTGAAGAAGCTGCATTTAGTTCATTAGGTGGATTTGGTTTGAAGTCAAATGATTCTACGAAAAGCCATTAGAATTTGACGTTTCGTCACAGTAGAACATCGTTATGCTTTAAGTCATGCTTAACAAATAAGCTTCTACCATTCAGATTGCAATCATAACACCATAGATGGGCTCATTAAAGTGAGCCGACGGAATTTTACATGTCATTGGTATTTTTGATACATTTTCTGGTGGAAGCTGGTCATCATTATTATGTCGAAATCTCAGCATGCCAAGTGACAAGGCAATGTGTTGATGTGATTTGATTTGATGGCATCATGTCTATGAAGAATGATAAACGAGGAGGCGATATCTACTCACTTATTCTCGTTTTAGGAAGACCTACCCCGATTTATATTAAGGAAGCGAATCCTGGTGTTTAGATGGTTAAACTTGGGATGGATAAGCCCACTGCAAGTAAAGATAAGAAATAGGCTGAACGGATGAGTATAATTTGTCAAGTTGGGCTCTTAAGTGTATAGATGAATAAGTTAATCGGGAGTGGATAGCTGAGTAGGTAGATGGGTAAATCCTGAATGAGTGGCTGGACCTCCCTCCAATGCAAACACTTCCAGCTAAGCCTCACCCACCACCGCTGTCTCAGCTCAGACGCCTTGCCTAGCATGCTCATTTTCAGATTTATGATCAGAGCCTAGAAAGTTGCTTCTCTAGTGGTTGTTCTACACAGTTGGTATCAATCATCTACCAAGCATTTTAAACCACAACCTCTTTCAATTTGTATACATTGCTCCACTGGTCTGTCTAAGCGAAGCTACACTTCAAAGCAGCCTGAAATTCCACCCTTCACAGGTCAATGCAACTACTTTCATGAGTTCGCAGTGTAGAGAGTCTACCAGAGAAAAGAATAGCAGCTGATAAATTAGAATAGTTGAATGCGTAATATCGCAAAGACCTTATTAAATCATGGAGTCAACACTTCTGAGGGGCAGCGTGATTAGACACACTAGGGATTCAAACTAATGGCGTACTTTGATATATGGTCAAACACTAACATTGTAAAACATCAAAGCTTATTGATCTCTTATTGTTAAGTGAAAAGAGGCTCTTTTGTTGGTATTTTTGTACTAAGAAAATCACGCTATTCAGGAAAAACCTTATAAATAGAATTTTATTAAATAAGGACAGTTGATCAGACCAGTAGTATTTTACAGTGCACTCAGAAGTCTTTACAAGGACCTGCCAAAAGATCTTAAATGTCTATAGGAAAAAGACGCGTAGCCAGGATACTACAGAGATTGTAGGAGCCAACTCTAAATGTCCAAGGTGGTTACATTAGCAATATAATAATAGCAAAATCAAATCGTGTTAAAATAAAGTGGGAGTTATTTTAAAGTTGCGATTTTAAGTTGACGTTGTTAAAGAAATTGAGCGAATTCAACCGAATTTACCTAAATTATAAATTCACTTTTTACGAATCAACTTTGCGAATAGCCTTTGGTGAAACAGGACGTGAATCAACCAAAAAAAGTTGCAGTTCAGGAAAGGCTAAGAGAAATTTCACAACTTATTCCTTCAGGAGAATTTGAGTTACTTTTAATTGTTGAGAAGAATTAAAAAAGTTTCATCTAAAAAATGAGCGGAGAAACTCACCTGAATGGCTTGTTGCCACAGTTACGTAAGTCTCAAACCACGATGTGAACAGGCGGTTACTTGAACTAATCTGCAACTGCATTGTACTGTGCGTCTCTCTTAGGTCATGACGTCATAAGTAGCACCTTTTTTTCACACAAAATTCAAATGCGCAGAAGGAGACATCTTAGAATTTGTGAAATGCCTACCTAATTGCGATGTTTGCTCCTTGGTTTCCACTTAAAGGTGAAACAGTTCGCCCTGCAGAAAAAATGATAAATGAAAGATTTTACTGAAATATTTCTGCGAAAATACTTTGCCTTCAGTACATCTCATGGAGCCCTCCAATCGACAAATAAAACCTCAAAGTAGTATTTACTTACTTAGTGAAAGCTGCAGATAAATGTGATATCCTAAATAAATTGTTTTGGTTGATTATCATTTATGAGTTGCCGTTTAAGCAGAGTGTGCTATTTGATGTCTTATTTTGAGAAAAAATATTTGTTTTCACCGAAGAAAGTCGTCGACGGCATTTGGAAAACCCTCTTCGAGGCTGCAGCTATACCTATGGGCAGCCCTCACGACTCCTGCGAGCAGCTTACTCATGTTACCGATAGCGAGAATAAAGAAATTGTCGATCTGTTATTAAGTAGGCGAATATAATCATATGATAAGGATTAAAGCTGGTACGAACAAACATTGTGAAGCAGACACCCAGACACATGCCACCTCTAGGAGAAGATTTGAGACGTATGATAGGAATGATGATCAGACACGAGATCAAAAATCCTTCACAATTGTCACAAGCCTCTCCAGTTGCCCTGGTAAAGAAGGGCTTTCGACTATAGGAAGCTGAACGCAGTATTGAAAAAGGATGCCTTCCTACTACCGTATATGAACAACGTGTTAGACTCCCTACAGGGGTCCAACTGGTTCTCCACGCTAGATTTAAACTCTGAACGCTAGTATGCGAAAGTGGCAGCAACAGAGAAAAGACAGCTTTCATAGTGATAAATGGACTTTCTGAATCCCAGACAATGCATTATGGACTCTGTAATGCAGGGGCCACCTTCCAAAGCCCAATGCAAACCGCGCCGATCAGCTCATTCCCTAAATATTATGCAATATATCTAGATGACACTATTGTCATAACGTCAATTCGAGATTGGTCTTGAACCGTCTGCTATACGCAGGATTTTCTCTAAACCCAAAGAAATGGCGATTTCTGCGGCGCTCGGTCAACTTCTTGGGACATACTGTCGCTTTAGACGAGAGACGGTTACCGAAGTTCATAATAAACTTGCCAAGACCTGACCAACGTAACCAATCAGGCAGAACTCCGCAGTTTTCTAGGTTTGGTAAATTACAGCAAGCGTTTTGCTAAAAGTTATGCTAAGATCGCCATCCAACTGCATAAATTAACTGAAAAGCAGGGAAAGAATTTCAAGTAGGAGAAAGGGCATGATGAATGGTGCAAAGAACTGAAGCGAATGCTCTCCATCTCACTGATTTTAGCATTGCTTAACTTCGAATCGCAAGCTATCCATTATACTGTACACCGACGCGAGCGATGCAGCCACGGGAGGTGTACTCTCATTAACGGACGTCACCGCCTACGCGGTTACTAGACTCAACAAAAAAGTTAGTCTAAAAAGCGCAAACTGTTCGCTCTCTTCACAATGGCTAAACATCTTAGACATTGTGGGAATGAACTATCATGTACTGACCTGGCTGAATACAATGCACAAACTGGACTACCCGGCTCCGAGTTGGTGCGAGGAGCTGTAATAGTACAAAATCCAGTGCAGTACAGGAAAGGCAATAAGCATAGTAGCGCTGATGTCCTGTCTCGCAGATCTATTGTGGCAGAAACAGAAAGTGTTGTAGTGGTCACCATATTCTTGAGCGAGTTCACGCAGCATACCGACCGTGACACAGCTCGTTAAGCAAGACGGCCAGGCAGATATGACAGGATTCGCCAAAAATCTCTGTACAAGATGAAGTTCTATGACACCAAGAAGGTGTTAGGTCTCCCAAACGCCTAGTGGTCCGAGGCTCATTGGTACACGCAGTTTTCCAAGAGTAACGCTAGCACCTTAACCAAATGGGTGAAGAGAAGATGCTAGATTCCCAAAGCAAAAGATACCGGTGGCCTGCGCTCATCCCAGACGTACCTGGTTTCTGCTAAACCTGTGTCAATTCCAGCAGTTTCAAAAAACCACAAGACAGCGATCGCTTCACTCAAGTTAGTGCCCACAGGTTTTCTTTAGGAAAAAAGTAAGCAATGACATTATATGCCCTGTAACACCCACCAAGAGTGAAAACCGAAACATTTTCGTTGTGGTAAAATACTTCGTATAAGCAGCCAAGGCGGGAACCATGAAGGTACGAGACGCTAAAACTGCCGCTTCGGTTTCCTTTAGTCGCTAGATTTGTCAACATGAAGTGCTCAAAACAGTGCATAGTGATCAAGGCGCCAATTACCAAAGCCGACATTGCTGAACTGTTGCAAGACCTGCATAAGGATGTTCGCAAGATAATAAGCAGGCGAAAAGACCAAGTCTCATTCTGATTGAAAGATCAACGAAAAAGCCCCTTGCGATTACCAACTATAAGGAGGGTGCGGAGGAATGTGCCCAAAAACGCGAGGGAACTGAGTAATACATGTTTCCTTAAATGTATGTTTTAAGCTAGAGGCGGTCAGGAAAGGGGAATCTCCCGTTAGCTCCGACGCCATCGGCACTCGCTGAGGAAATACAGCTCGAACAAGCTTAAATTGCGAGTCCTGCACAAGCGTTAACAACAGCAGGCAAATAAGCATGTCCTCGTCTACTCGTTTTGAGGACATAAAGGCAGAGGTGGAAGAAACACCAAACCTGTTACGCATCTCGATGCGTAGGATAATGTGAGGTCTTCATATAAGGCGATGTTCTAAGAGCCTGACTACTGATAAAAATTCTGCTTTAGCAGAAGTCATTTTAAAGAGGAAGAAGAGCCTTTCTCTTAACAGAATGTTCTACTTATAGAAGTAGTAGATAGCCACATACTATTCGGCAACGAGCCAAGTCCTCTTTCTTTATCTATATTTTTTACTGGCTTTCTAATTATACACAATTTTTGATTCTTTTATTTCAAGTTTGCTGATTTCATGTAAAATTAGTTTTAATAGATAGCAGCTTACCGCCACTTATGGGGTAGTTCTGTTTGTGCTTTTCACGTGTTTTCCCTTGGAGGATGTCAAATACAAAATCGTGTAACGGGAGAAATGGCTCTGTTGGTGAGGTCTCAAGCACATCTCGACTTTGCAAACTCACGAAATCATTTGTCCACTTTCATTCATTGTCACTATTGTTAGCACCCCGATGTCCGTATTTTAATAAGTAGTTCTTCTTTCAGATCACGACGAAGAATTTGTTGTGCCTCATATGGAAATCGCTTGTACATTGAATTCTGTCGCTTACATGCGTGTACTGGAGCATCCTTGGATATATCTTCACAATTGGGAGAATTTGAATGTTGGAGTGCAAAATGCTGCTACGCAGGCCTTCTTCAATGAAGCTCAAGATATCAAGAACTACTTGAACTCCAGCGAAGCAGCCTGTGTGATGCCTGCTGAATCCATTGGAGTTGGCTCAAGTCCAGAATCTTGTGATTCCGCTCTGGCATCAACGGAATCAGATCAGCAGCACCCGCAGCAATAATAACAGTGGTTCCTTTGTATAAGTGGCCATTTTCGTGTTTTTCTATTTTCTTCAATGAACTTTTGTTGGTACTTTTAGACCAGTGAGGAGCAATGATTTGACTACCATCGTGTTTTGTATTTATTCTACCGTCTGTAAGATTTTCTTTCACGTTCCAGCATTAAATTTGGTTTGGTTATCATCCACATATCAGGGGTGTTGTGTTGGACTCGGTTCTTGTACTTTTCATTATTTGGTCAGCATGATAGAATCTACGGAAGTTTTTGTCTTCCTTCATAAAAGTTATAATAGTTCCTGCAACCACGTATTACCGGTAAATACTGCCTATCTTTGCCTCTTCGCCGATCTTTAACAAAAAATGTGTGTATTAAGCGACTACCATTCTCAACTACTTCAAATTTAAAGTAACTACTATTCAAATGCAACTGGGATTATGACATTTCGGAGGTTGTATCGAACTAATGCAGGCGTTTGTCCTCCAACTAAACCGCCGTGTTGGTGGCTGTCACTCAGTCATAATGGGCGCCTTAAGCCACTTTTCCATAATTTGTGGGCCTTGCTATGGCTTCAGCAAGGACTATGAACGCTGTGTGCGACACCAGTAGGCAAAGTCATTCCAAGTTGCTTCTAAGTGGAAAGGTGGCTACCATAAACGGTCAAATCTAAGGGGCCTCACTACAGGTGGGTTCAAGGGGTGAATGAGCAATTTCGAGTTCTGCACAATAATTGCGAACGCAACAAGATTAAGTATGACTGGGCGCAAGTCTACGTGCTATAGTTTTTCATTTTTGAACTTATCAAACTGTAGGTTGATCCCATCTGGCCTGCTTCGCAAAACCATTTCAACTTAGTTCTAAAGTAGCAGAAACTAATAATCAAATTTCTTGCTTTGTGCCTTGAGTTTGTGTGGTATACAATGGCTTAACAGCGTACCAGTTAAAATCAAATGATGCGAAGAATTCGATGCCTAGAATAAACCAGCTGAATCGAAACCCATCACCTCGAAGTGAATACCGTCTACTCTCGCTTACAAGGGTGAATGCCGTGACGCTATTAACACCCTAATCCCCAATGAAAGCATCAAGAACAACTTTTGGTCATCTATACCCTGGATGATGATGAAGCACCAGGGTCATTTAGTTCCGAATCCACCTGAGAAGATAAGCTGTGAAAACTACCAACCAAACGGGTGTCACATGCATTAGCAACAGATGACACGAAGTTCCATAGGCTACCAATTTGTTCCTCACTTCTTTCACATGAGTTGACAAAACGAGTGGTACAATTTGGTTGGTTTTGTCATTGTCTGATATGTGATCAGAAATGCTTATTAACGAAAATAGCATCGGGTACCAGCAAATGCTCTGCTTCCAACCCCACCCCACACTTCAAAGGCACTCGCCATTCCATTCCCAGAAGACTACGCATGCTTTGTGCGTGTGCCACCGTTCAATATGGATTCGCCACATGCTACAGGTCAAAGAATACCTACGGCGGAGGCACATTTGTATGACACTACACGATACAACTCTCAGAATCGAACCAAAACATCTGTCGCCGTAGTAATGCATGAGAATTACCTCACTACACTGTACTAGTCGCGTCAGTAAATAACATAACATTACAAACGATCATAAAATGATCAGTTGTACAATTTTTTAAAGACATTTGCTCTCTTTCGATAATTACCCTTGATGCAGTAGGATGAAATGCTTTCCGAATACCTCGCATGAGATCGCATGCTCCCCTTTTGACTACGGCATCAATTACGCAGTTGCTGATGGGTCCAAATTTCGTCTAGCAGTTTGCACTTAGTCCTCATTTTTTGCCAACAGCTTAGAATGCTATTTATTGTCTTAAATATCATACATCATGATTCAGTTTAGCAAGATCCAGAAGAGGACAGTTGATGTAAGCTATTTTAGTGGTATATAGTCGATCACATAGCCTCTATTGCCTTGACTTTCAAATAAATTTAAATGAATTTTTCCAGGGAAGGGGAGGCAGATTTATCATTCTCAACCAATCTAACTGCCACTGAAAAGGGCAACAGTGAAGGGATGTGGCTAATGTTTTTACCAAGTTAAACTTCACCATATCTCGTGAAAGACAAAAAGCTGCGGCTGTTTAACCGCAGTAACGGCTGTTCAACAAATCTACTGTGGTAGTTGAATGATACGATGAGCACTTTTTCTAAGGCATTGCCGGACAAACAAAGAAAAATATACCAAACCCTCGAAGTGAATGTGTAGTTTGCCGGCAGAAGTGAGCTCCCTGAGTCCTCCAGAAGAGGCCAGAGGCCACTGTCATGGCCTGAACGGAAATGCAATCTGGCTCATTTCAGGCCAAACCATAGGGTTACTTCGGCTGTAACTAGGATATGAGTAGCCAATCTATTGAGTCTATATTCATCCAAAGATAACCATAGCACTTACGATTTTCACCATTCATTTCTTTTTAGAAGCATAATACCGAAAAATCGTTTTGCTGGATGTCATCCCTAAATACCCAAATGGCGCACCATATCAAAAATAACTAATTAAACTTTGGACTAAATTTGCTAATTACATCTCTTAAATTGGCTGCAAGTTCGTGGCGCAATTTTCTTGAATCAATTACTTTTTACTTTTAAAATGTAGTTCCTACGAAAAGCAAGACACATAATAGTGCTAATTGGAGAGTACAAGTTAACTGCATTAGCTCGCAGAATAGGCCATCTGGTGAGCCATCCTGTTTCTCCCTTTGCCGGCGCAATTAAGCAACGCTGAGACGAAATGGGCAGCCCAGATCTGTCAAAGTTAGGGCTTCTCAACCTTGACTGGGGGGGGGGGGGGAGCCGAGTGACCCCCAGAGTGCAACTGGACCCACTGCCTAAGTGCAGACCTGTCATTGGCTTCTTCCATAACCTCTTGTTTAATACGATGAGTTTTCGGAGGGTGACCCAGGTGAAACGACTATTACAACAAGTTAAAAATAGAGATCATTCAAAGCGAATTATGGGTCTAAAAGGTCGTAGATATAATCTAGATAAAGTACTCCTAAACTTAACACGATTCAGTGTGTATCTTGTCCAGAAGTGTAGCTCTTTGGATGCAAAATTTACAGCTTAACTGATGCTAATCAGCGCAAGTAAGCAAAACGAATTCACCATCGACCGTTCCCAAACGGTCCATCCACTGCTCAATGCCAAGCTTCCAGGGCACATTTCTCCCCATCTCCATAATATTGAGGATCGTCAGTATGTGCGATGCACTTGCGAGTCAATTGTTCAATAGTGCGTTGTTTGAATGCTCAAGTCCAAATTGCAATTACACCTACGATCTATCTGCTAAATTAGGTTCCTATTCTCGAATAGCAGCCAGGAGTGTATAACCAGTCATTACATCGGAGAAAGTCGTTTTCATACCCAAAGGAGACTTCACAATTTTCCTTCGTTTTTATTTTGGGAATACTCCTTTAACCTTAAAGTGATAACTGCTATCCTTTCTTTCTGGTAATAATCGTAATACGATGGTGGTTTAGCCCTCGGTATTGGTGAGGTTCCACCTTTGAACTTTTGAATTCGCCTTCTTGTACCTCGCTGGGTGGGCTGGCCTTCGGGCCATGCCAGTAGCCCAAACACCTTCTCTCTGTTGAATGTATATATTCTGCCCGAGTATTTTGTCTTCTTCCCTCTTCAGGGAAGTCTCAGGACGCTACATATGGATCAACTAAACACTGGTTTATATTATAGATGCTAAAATTTATAAAAAATTATTTGAAGGTTAAAAAATTAGTTTTCCATTAAGGCTTTCTTGCTTAGTGCTTGGACAACCGAAATCGAATCACGAACCGAGTGAGAGATGAATTAATCTGAAACAGATTGTTACTCGCACAAAATGAAAAAGTGGGTCTTACTACTAATTTTAAGAATCAATGGCCCATAAGAGTGACATTAGTTTTACCAGCGTTCCACTTGCCTCTCGCAAAGACGCGGGAGTTCCAATGGTTGCGTTAGGAGTCAGAGAGCCTCTGATTGACACTGGGATTACCTCACAAGTTCAGAATATGCAAACAAACAAATAAATTGAATCTATAGCAGAAAAACTATGATTCAGCTGCCATAATCTCATTTCAGACACGGCTATGAGGCGGAAAAAGAATAAATAGTGTAGAGTAATGGGAGAAAAAGCATCCTAGACGGAAGAAATGATGGGTGGGAGGAGGTTAAAAAGAGCACTGCCGATCGCTTATGAAGAATGTGCCATTTTGATTAAGAATTATGCCTCCCTGATTTAATTCTCATTAATGGGATCGGATTTACTGCTTCTAACACAAAAAACAACTTGAAAGCTGACGCTTTTACTTACAACTACTTCTTGGCAAATACAGGGCTAATTATAGGCCAAGGGAAACTAATTTAAAATGACTGGGATACAGAAGACTCCAAAAGTCGCAGCCAAACTCTACATCGAAGCAATAGTTATTCGACTGTATAGCTTGGCCAATTAAAATAATCGCTCTATTTGTCATGCCAGATTATGTGTCAAGATTACAGGTGATTTATTGGTTGTTAGGAGAATCCTTCAATTTTGGATTTCGTACGGCCGTTTAGCGTTCAAGGAGGAAAAGAGGTAAACTATTTTTTCACGAATTCCAAAGGACATCTAGATCATTGATTATAGGCAAGAATGAATATGAATGTTTTTGGTCTGCTTAGAACTTCTTCGTGCTAATCAGCATTGTAAAATCTAATTCAGTGTTGATTAGAACACTCATCGCACAGTTTTGTGCTCGCTGACTACAAGATATGCAGTGCGTGTAACGGTTAATTGCAGCAATTCGCCTCGATTTATGACGGCACAAATTACATTTTTCTACATAATACAACTTTTAGGTAATTTCAAAAAAGGCTAAAACTCAAATTTCGAAAGAGTTTGAAACGCTTCTTGTGCAAGAAATGGAGCGGAAGCACTTAATCCTTTAGGAGGAACAAACCTAGGTATCATTTTCCAAATTGACAGCCCGTAAACACACACATCATTGCGTAAATGAAGAACGTCGTCCTCTACAAATTTTTTTCGGCGTGAGAATACGAACCCAGAATTGGAGGAGTGAAACCTAGAACTCCTTGCCCAAGTTGCTATCAGCGTTTGCTAGAGCGGTAGTGAAGGCATTTTCTAGCTATTACTTTGAAATAATCGCTTTCCAAGTCCTAGGAAGAAGTATGCCTTTAAGCAGATATATCTAAATGTTCTGAGCGCATAGAAGTGAAACCGAAATTAACCTGGAACGTGTAAGTGAAATGCCTTATTCGCCAATAATACACGAAGTTAGTCAGATGTAAAGCCAAAACAATCCTTCGCAAATAGTCAGAGCTCACGGCTGCAAAGTATTCTAATCAAAATAAAGTGTTTCGCTTGAACTAAATTAGCATGCTTGAATATTAGGTTTCTCTGCGAACGTTTTACTGAATACACTTGCAGCCTTCAAAGCGATAAAACACGTATCTATTATGCAAAAACAAAACCGGGAAATTATCCCAGATTTTAAGCCAAGTAGCAATGGTCGGCTCTAAACCAACGGAAAGCTTCTTTGAAAAATTTGAAACCGTGGGGGGTGATGAGTGCGGCACCTATGAAATTACGAGCCTAGGCATAGTTGTACGGTGGTCGGGTGGCTTTTCATGTTTGAATCCGTACTTAATGAAGTTGTGACTCGCGAGTATCGGCCTCGAAATTCGTACACATTTTCTCGTCGTATGTTCTTACTTTTGCGAAATAAAGCTTTCCGAAGGCAAATGTATTCCTCTCATTGGCGTCAGCAACTTTGAATGCCACAAAAACCAAGCATTTCACTTGCATTCCTGCATCGATGCCGCGTCACCCCCCTTTGACTGTGATTTCTCGCCGCGTGAGTTGGAAACTGATTTACCCATAACACAGCTACTTTCTCCAGGTGCACCTAGTCTGCTGCTGGTCGCCAAAGAAGACGGGCTGGTGCATCTCTTCGACACAGAACAGCTTGGGTCAGAAAGTCTACTAAAATGTTAGTTATTTTGATGAATGTTCATTTTTTAGATTATGGGGTTCATGATAACGCTATTTTTAGTGTCAAATGGGTCACTCATGCCGATCAATTCCTCACTGCTTCCGGTGACCAAACCATTAAGCTGATTGATTCAGAAACTGGTTCGGTCGTCAGTGTTTATGTTGGTCATACGATGTCTGTCCGCTCCCTCGCCCTCTCTCCTGAAGACCACCGTAATTCCTTTCTATTCTAAATCTAATTTTCCAGATATTTTTGCTTCCGCTTCGCGAGATGGTTCAGTTCGCCTTTGGGATATGCGAACACAGAATTCTGAAGGCGTAGGCAGCTCTGCCCACATCCAAGGATGCCATCTCCCTTCCATTGAGTCATCTTCCCGCCGTTCTAGGTCGAAATCACGAAAGTCCATGGTCTGATCGATCATCTCTTGGCCTATTTTTTGTTTAGACTGACTCTCAGAGTGTCACCTCTGTCGTCTTTGCCAGGGAGTTCGAGTTAGTCTCCACGGGTTCTACCGATGGGTGCGTTCTGCACTTCCTTAAGTCTATTTTCTTCTAGAACGATAAAAATTTGGGACATTCGAAAAATTACGTCGTTGAATAAAATACAGCCGCAACCCATAACTTCCTTGCCTTACAATGGAATTTCTCGGAAACAGTGTGGTGAGTTGGGGTTTTTTGGACTTGCGAAAGACTCAGCATTTTTTTCCTCATAGCGTTTCTTTTTGCGTTTTATTAGGCTACTCGGACCTGGTTTTGGATTCAAACCGAAGGCGACTCTACGCTAGTTGTCTGGATCATGCTATCTATGAGTACGATCTTACTTCTACCTCGACTAGACCAGGTTAGTTATTGAGTTTATTCTCTTTCAACAGCTAGTAAGCATAAAATTTCCAGTTTTCTGCGGGGTCAATTGTCTTCATCTTGGACTGGCAGTAGTGTTTTCGGCTACTGGGGTCTAGATTATTTATTTTTTACTTCTTTTTGCATAATTTTGTGGATTGCTTAGGTTAAAAATAAAGAAATCACGAATGAGTCGCGACTAGTGGGAGTTTGCGCGGTCTTGGGTCGAGCTCGTGGGCAATGGTTGACTGGCAACAGCTACTAATATAAGTGGCCATCAATATCCTCTGGAGTTTTGATGGTCAGCTTTTACATGCATACGGTATATGCTTATTTGACGGCAATTATATTTAAATTACAAACTACATTCATGAGCAGTGTTAGCGCTTAGTTAATTTGGGGATCTATTATTCGATAATACTTAATGGAGCGCCGTAATTGGACCGCATTTATCGCTTTCATTAGGGAAGGCGCAATAACTGAGTAACTCAGTCCATCAGGCCATTTGTTAATACAGTTTTTTGTCAGATATGCAAGAGCTTATTCAATTTCCTTCCCTAAATTTGTGAAAATGTGTTTGTATTTCTACTTTATCTTAAAAGGAATTTATTTTTAGCTCACATCGCCATTTTTAGCTCACCTTGGTTTTAATCGCGAATCCACAAGTATTGACAAAAATGTACTCTATATGTTTTGTCTTTTCATAAAGAGGTATCAATTTTTAAAGCAATCGGGAAAATAAGTGTCGTAGAAGTTCATCAAATTCATTTCTATTAGTTGCCATTGTTGTTTAGCCGATATTCTGAATCGGCTAGTTTCCATACTTATTGAACGGATTTCTTATAGGAACTGATGGTTTATCCAGAGGCTTGCGTCTTTACTACTAAGTGTTTCTGGAATCTTTCAAGGTCTCTGAACGCCAACCTAACTAGTCTTCTAAACGGCTTTCTATTTTGTCGAATGCCTATTTGGAGTATACTTGATAATTTCAACAGTGTCTTTGAATGCGGCACTTGGAGGCTCCTATGAAGTCCTAATAATAATTGTGCCGGTATGGGAAGCTATGGTGACAGCTAGGCCATGTGTTTATTCTTAGAATGAAGGGTCCGGGTATTCATTTGTTGATCGAAACAAATATCTAATTACCGTACTAAAAATTTTCTCACGAAACATCTTTAGTTAAGCTTTTTTTGGTCCATTCGGATGAACCTTTCTTTGCGTTTTTTTTATGCTCAGTAGAATATAACGGATAGTGTTCCTTTATGCTAGGGGTGATAAAACTTCTGCCTTCAAGCTGAATATCGCATGTTTTTTTTACAGTGGATCGTCCTCACTACTCCTTGAATCGCCTCTTAGGTATTTTTCCTGTTTGGGGTAATATTAATAAAGCGAATACCTTGAATGCCAAATCGGGCATTTCATATTTGTGTTCTAACGTCCTGCTATTACAACATACCTCCTGTTTCCAGTCAGCCGTTCTTGTTTACGATAATGTGAATCATTGATCACTTCATGGTCACTTCCACTACTTCCCACTTAATCTGCCTTCTCTTTCAGCCCTTCTCTACACTGGCCATCTCACAGGGTCTTTCTACATCAAACTAAGCCTCAGTCCTGACGACGCCTATCTGGCTTGTGGCAGTGCAGACAGTCGGGCGTATATCTACCGGGTGGGTGCGCGCACCCAGCGTCCCTTTGTACTCTCCGGCCACACCGGCGAGGTCTCCGTGCCGCGCTGGTCATTCCACGATCCCACTCGCTTGGTCACGCTGTCGGACACCGCTCAGCTTTTCGTCTGGCGAATGTTCCCCGCCAGGGAGTACACGATACCGGAGGCGGGACAGTTGAGGGGTGAGTGAGATATTATTGGTGATATTTGATAAAGTTTTCTTCTATCGTGGACGTACAGAAACCGTGATTTTCGTCTTCTGGTTTGTAATGTGCTGAAACTCGGCATTCAATTGACGCCAATTGTGAGACTTTTGATTGGATGTATCCCTCCCTCAGCTTTTTTCTGTTTGGAAGCGTTGCCTTTTTTTCTACTTTAAGTGATTCTAAATTTGCTGAAAGTTTGTTACTGTCGTGTCAAATTCATAGACTACTTACGATCTTTTGTTTCTTAAATATGCGATTTTGAATAAGTGAAATGCATAAACGCCTTTAACTGACTTAGAATAGTTTAAAACCTTTAGTAATCTCAGTATGTGAACTTGTAAGTAATTCTTGCCCATCATTCACTTTTCTTCCAAGCTGTTTTTTGCACAAATGGATCATTCATAAAAATCTCTCATGAATTCAAGTGTGTGGGGTTACTCCCCCCTCACTCCGACTTCGGATGTCGTGATGTTCGTCGAAACTCGGCATTTCATTGTGGATACTTTAAATTATTTTCCTGCTCCGGTTATTCCTGTTTTTGGGAGATGTCCCGCAATTTTTGACGCTCGGAAGCATTACCATTCATTTTTTTGACTTGAGTAGGTTAATTTAGATACTCTTGTAGTGAAGTTGTAGGGTTCTTTACTAGCATCTTTAATTAATATGAACTATTCTTTCAGAAACTCGTGATTTTAATGTGAAAGTTGTAGTTTAGGTTATTTAGTCTGGAATAGTTCGAAATCTTATGTAGCTCGACGCTTTGTTGGTGAGACTGTGTGCTGTTTAATAACCACAAGCATTACTTTTGAGTTAGCGAAAACTCTATTTCATCCAATTTTTTTTGAAAATTTGAGCATTAAAAAAATTTTCCTTGTCTAACTAAAAGTAGTTTGGATTGGTCTAGGTTACAATTTCGGGGGTTCACAATTTTCGGGAATGCTTATAGCTGCATTTTTGTCATCTTCGGGCATTTAATTTGAATGAATATGAATTTTGATTTCAACGTTCTTGAAGGTGTGGGCTTTGTGGAGAATGTGTACCTAAGTTTCTTGAAACAGGGTAAAGGTATATACTTCAGTGGTGAAATTGTAATTTGCACATTGGCAAACTCACTTTAATTGGATAGAAGTGGTGGTTTTCTAGATTCTCATTCCTCCCACCTGGCGAATTTTTGTGTGATTGTCTCACTCTCTTCTATTCGACTTGGGATTGTCTGAAAGTTATTTGAATTCTACAGCTTAGTGCCAAAATTGTAGGCTATTTTGACAGAGCTGTTAGAGAGCAGCTGGTACCTGATACAATCTACAAGTGGGATTTGCGGTGGTATGGGGACTTGCGATGTGTTGCTGAGGGGATAGACTTTTCAGCTGTCTAGTCGTGGTTGTTTTCACAGTAGTTTTTCTTCATACCGAGTTGTATCGATTTGTCAACCGTAACTACCATTTGCCGAATAATTGAATAATTGGGTCATGGAGTGGTGCATGCCGTGGAAGTGTTGGGCGGTGAATAGATCGCTTGCAGCTAACCGAAGATGCCTGTTTCCTTGATGTTGAAGAATTAAAGGCCTTTTTTCTCACAAGATGCAAGCTGTAAGACAGACTTGTCACCGCGTGATGCGAAGCTACTGAATTATTTTTGCTCCTGCCCTGCATTCTAACCTTACCTTATTGAGGTTCCGCGATTTGTAATGGATAACCCACGTTCACATTATCCATCACCTCAGCTAAGGCCTGGGTTCCACTAGGCACGTGCATGGCTCATTTTCAAGGCTAGAATTCTCTGTTGAGGCGTAGCTTTTTGTTTGAAATGTTATCCAAATTATCACGTGCTTTTTTAGCCAGCCAGTCATGTTCAGTTAACCTCTTACTCTCTGCACTGCTACGTTGATTTGCTCCGTGGCGAAAAATTTCTTAAAAGAATTCAAAAAATGCAAATTGCTCAAGAAAGCAACTTATCAATGAAAAATTCAAGAATCGGTAAGTGCAAACAAAAACATGTGTTTGAAACCAGGACGACTTTCAATGATTATAGTTACAGTTTATTCGAATCTTGAAGTCTGCTGTATCCGTTTATGGGTGACTTGATTGGGGACGAACGTGGGAATTACAAGATCGGCACTAGGGTTTTGTGGTACCGTCGTGGAGACCTAAAAGTGGGAGACTGAAAAGGGCTTGCTCACCCAGATGCTACTTATTTCAAATTCCCAATTTAGATACTTCTTTTTCGACCACCTTAGGCTTGACTGAGTGTCTTTCCCAACCAACGGTCACTGCTGAGCATCAGAGAAGCCTCCTCGTTCCCGTTTCAACACGGTCCACAGCAGTGGTATTGGCAACAAAGTCTTCGCCAATTTCATCAAAATCTGGAGGTGATGCGCTCGACTCATTCTCTTTACTGGCTAAACGTAGAAGGCAGTTGAATATTCGAGACTTCTTGATGGATTTGCCGCAGGCCGGTGGTGTGAATGGTAGTAACCTTATTGACAATAGCGGCGGTAGTAACAACAACACACATTCGTCCACTCTCTCTCCTAAGGGGTCAGTTGCTTCTTTATACATCGTTATTTTATAGAGTCACTTGATTGAGTGGAGTCGTTATACTCTTCATACGTTCCCATACGCCTCATTCCTTATTGCCATTTCTCTCCTTATGGCGTCGCATTGCTACACCCCTATTGCCCTCTTTACTCACTCGTCAGTTCCTTGATAAAGTCAACGGGTTCTGGAAGACTGCCTTCCTAGACGGATCTAAGCAAATGAAATAAATGGAACGATTTTTGTATGCACCAATAAATATATTGATGAATATGTTATTTGAAGTTTTGTGGCATCATTAAATTTATTTGCTGCTTCTCTAATCGTGGGCTGCCGAAACAGTTGGTATATTTTCCAGTGTGCTTTGCTGCAGTTTCTTTCTATAACTTCTAGTCGGATTTGTAAAATATATGCATTGTAAAGCATCTATATGTGTCGATCTATTGGCAAGGTACAGTGCAATTTAGTGTGATCCACTGTTTTCCCCTTATCTCTTAGCTTCCATGGCATAAAATGTCAGTTGAACCTGAGCAATGTGGCTCAAAGCTGTTTTTCCTTGCGAACCAGGTTCAACTCGGTTCCAAAGATCTACAGGTTCCTCATGAAATTTGTTGCATAGCGACTTGGGGAAGAGTGAAGATGCGATAGCAGTGCATATTTCCTACCAATAGTCTTGCTGTTTTTACAGCAATACAGTAGACGCGGCACCAGAGATGACGCTCACCTCCTTTGTCTCGGGCTCACAAGTCATTCAACCCTATCCATTTCCTCCGTCCATCACTACTGCCGCTGTCGCCGTTGCTACTTCTTCGTCATCACCAACTCCATCGCTGTCTTATAAATGCAATAGTGACGCCAACCCCCCACTCTGCAAGTTGAAAGTTAAGGTTTAAATTTTATTTTGACCTTTTTTACCCTACCAAAACTTGATGACGTAAATACTCTTTTCATCTCGCTTCCGTTTGACTTACACAGAGGCTATATCATGTTCCCAGCCTTTATCAATTGATTTATGTTCGTCTTTCCTGTTCGTTTGACTTTGATAAGGAGTTGAATGTTTTCTCAAATTAAAGCAGTTAAATGCGATGCATTTGGAAGATCATTGAATGGGTGAAAAGAAGTTTCGTAAAACACTTTCCACTGTTGAAGGACTTATTTATTTAGTCTATTTTGCGTGTATGTGACTCACTAGTGTCATCAAAAGTAGTCATCAATTGGCTTTTGGAGAGGGATCATTCGAGAAATATGGGCAATGAGAATGAGGACAAATATGAAGATGAGGCCGTTTCTCCATTTTTCCGTCCGTCCCATCCCATCCTAAATTACAAATCTCGCGGTGAGGTATGCCTTATTGGGGCTTGTATTGTCCTTTAAGATTAAGGATAGGACTTTTTTCAACTGATTTGGTGTTGTCTTCGGGTCGAATTACATTGAGCACGTTGATCTCAGCCGTGATTGTTTGGTCTTTAGTAAATGAGAAATCGCGTCTACAACTTGGTCCACCGTACGTATATGCATAGCAAGCTTGGCTTTCTGGGAGTGGGTGCAGTCGGCAGTGACCGAATTGTTTGGACATCAGAAGTGGTGTTTGATCGCTTAGGATTGGAATGCAAGTCATTTTTTTCTTTGAGTCTGTGACCAGAGGTCCAAAAATGGGGCATTTTTCTGAAGTGAAAGAAACGCCGAAAAATTGATCTTTGAAGCTTAGTGTCGTCTGCTAATGTATGTGGGTTATACATTGGTCTCTATTAGCTTCTACAACCCCCGCGTCGCAGTTGGCATAATCTTAAATTAACTGTTTCACAATCACTCTTGTTAAATAGTACCAAAAGTTGTAAGTGGCACATTAACAGCTGTAAGTGATGCATATACATGGCCAATCCATCACTAAAATACAATTTTTGTAACCATCTCTGGGTAGTACGTTCTGCTACGGGAGGCTTCCGTAACGCCTTTGCGATTGGAGTAAACGTATTTCTTAAAGCTGATAAGCAGGTTCAGCTGACATTTCCTCGCCGCTAATTAATCCATATCCCCTTTTTGCGCAGGTAGGTATCAATTCCAAAGGAAATCCGTTTCGACAACTTTTCTGGACACTTTTTTTAAAATCACTGTCCCGTTTTTATCCCTTTCAAAATTTTAACTATCGAATTTGGTGAAACCACTTGTCTACCAGCCCCTTGGAAGCAAAGTCATTCAGGCAAAAATACTGTCTGTTCAATTTGATCAATTTCCCACTTTTACAGCCGGGTGGGCCGAAGAAGATGTTGAGAATAACCCTCCAAGTAGTTCTAGCGCCTCGACGGATTCCCATTCACATCATCGGTATCTTCGACGTCACTGCAATCATCGCTATCTGGGTTTATCCAAATCCACTGGGCAAGAGGGAATGTTTTCACCACTATCCGACATTACCAAAGCACTGGTGTGTTACTGTTTGACTAATATGCTACTAATTTCCTATGCCACTAGTTGACCCCGATCATAGAGCTGCGGCTATTTGAGTACGGCGTACAGCTGATTTGTGACTCACTGAAGCCGAGTAAGGAGGGTTTTCACACTTTGTTGAATGCGATCTAAATTTCCTTTTTTCTGTACAAAATGTTGGAGTATTCCGTCGACACTGTCCATATTTTACGGATCGTAGATTGAAGTGGAATGATATTGTATTAGCGTTATAGTGATCTTTTCCGTCTTACCCAATTCGGTTGCTAACCCCGCACCATTGATAAATTCACTTCGTCTGCAGTTTATGCTCCTGATAAAACTGTGTACAGCTCTGGCTGTCTTTATTCTTATTGCACTTCTATTTCCCAAACGTTTGTCACTTGAAGGAATACTGTCAGGTGAATAGAAAAGTTGAGGTGGAGGTCCGACCTCTCTCTCGCCCTAATGAAGTGCCCTTACCCTAAGGTTGTGGAACCTTCTTTCAACTGATTGACTACTTCCGGTTGTTCCCGAATAGGAGTTTATTTCGCACACCTCCAAGTCCCCTCGACTTATCAGCCGTAATTGATTGACTTTCGAAAACCAAGCTAATCTCAGTGAATAATTGCTTCTGTCATTCATCACATACAAACCATAGTCTCGTGGAGGTGTGATGATGTCTTAGAAGTGTGGTAGTGGATTGTTTAGGCATGCCTACAGAATAAAGACGCCCGCTGTGCATATCTGGATTCGTGGACATTCACAAAAGGGGGGCTGCCTGAAGATCCTAGTTTTAACAAACCTTAATTAGCACCGCAATGCGTAACAAAGCGAGAGGTGCATAGAATGAGTTTGAATCGTCAGTAACTGTTGGGGCTTCGCAGTCACAATACCTGGGGCTCTACTTTATGTTATGTCTAGTGAAAAAATTCTGCTTTCATGCGATTTTTTTCACGAAAAGTGCTAGTTCTATGTAATAGGTTAGTTGTTGAGCCTTCGGTAGTCTTAACTTGGAAGAAGTTTGAGATAAGTCCCACCTAAATTCTCGTATATCGTTGCATTTCTGGACTACCCATCCTTATCACTGTAACGCCCACCATTCATTTTTTGGACTCCATGCCAAAAAAATTATTTCTCAATTCATTAAATAGCTTTCGCTTTAATGAGAAGTAATTGGCAATCGGTGATTTCCAAGTACTTATCTTCAATGCAGTTTATTAACGGAAATCTATTCATTGTGATGAACTGTCATTTTGTGAGTTAGCGAGGAAAATTAATCGCTGCAAGCGTCAAGGGCAGGAGAAGTGCTGTTTGACGGATTGTTCTTTTCAGTTACATACATTGGCCATGCGGACCTCTTGAGGTCACTTTCGGGTCAGTTTTCAAGCCCTAGCAGCAAGACTATTTCTTGGCTCATCAGCTTTGTTGGTAGCAGTGCTGCGGGCTGTATCGAATTCGTGGATGTCCGTACGAGTTGTTTTCTGTCAGCCCAAAGGAGCAGCTAGTTTAGCTGAGTCAACCAGATTGGATGGTTAAAATACATTTAATTCAATCTACCAGACACGCTTAGATCTATTGAAGATTTTTAATTTTACGGGTTTAGAAAGGGCAATATTGATAGTTCCTGTGTGTCCATGGGACAACTTGTGCCCAATGAACTAGGCTTATTGTGATACCCGCGGATATATTGACTCGTGCCTACATCAATAATGGAATGCCGAACCGCTCAGCAGTAAGCCATTTAAATGTTCAAACGCTTTAAAGCCGGTAGTACATCTTTTAGTGTCGATCCTGCCCATGACCTTTCCCGACTCAGCTTCGTCATTCGTTCCCGCGACTATTCAGCTGTTGTGTGATTTTTTATCTTGGGCACTTGATCTGCACATAATGTCTTTAATTCGCACAGAATTTGAAGCCATCTGAGTAGCGCGTGGCGAAGTTGGTGCACGCTGACTACTAAGGCACCTCTCACCCGATTAACGCTGAGGAATTCAAGGGTGTGAGTGCTTTCCAGGCACTAGTTAAACGCCAGGTTAAACGTGTTTATATAGTAGGACTGGGTGGTAAAAGCGATTTTTACTCCTTGAAGCCTATTTCTTTATGGGCTTGAGAGTCCCAGTTTGTCTTGAACGTCATAATAAAGACCTTTATAGTCCTCTGTTTAAATTATTTCGAAATGTTTATGCCATTGTTCTTTAACTGAAGCCATTCTCAACACTAGTCCCAACCTTCAAGAAAACGACCCATGGAGGTAAACGATGGCGTTGGCAAGAAAATAGAAGACCATGAAAGCAGCCTTGGTTCCCAATCTCCGACATGGAGCAAGCACTCCACTACTACTGAGGCCTCTGTCTCTGCGTCTTCCTCTTCACTTTCTATGGGAACTGGAAGCCCTGGCGGCACACCGAGACGGCGCCGTCGAACCATGGTTTCTAAAACCTCCTCCACCAGCAACTTTTCGCCCTCGGTAGCTTTTTCTAGTTTGCTCCGCAAAAATTTAACATTTTGGCAGATGGATTAGTAAATTTGCTAGTGGTGGATGTTGACCCATAAAAAACAATTAATTTACAATTGATGGAATTGCTTTGGAATTATACGTTTCAATAGGTCTATAAGTGAAACTATTGAAAGCCTTTTTTTTTAATTATTTCCTTTTTGACCAGGTAGGAATTAGACGAAACGTGCCGTAAGCAGTTAATCAATCACTGAATTTGTGATTTGATTGGTTCATTAGGTGAGAACTTGTCTGGGGAATGTTGGAGCCTGTTAAAATTTGAATTTCGGGTTATTGTTTAATCCGGATTTATTGCGGCCATGCCTAGGCCTCCAGATACTTTCTGCTTGATTTTAAATTCACGCCGTGGTACGTGCTTTCTAATGTGAGTGGCTTACTTGATTGCATTTTTTTCGTCATTTCAGTTACCGAACCGGCGACGACGTAGATCTACGTTGAGGCCGGCTGTAGTTGCCTCTGGACGTAACTCGATCAGGAATTACTTCAAACCTTCAGAGGACTGATTCCCCCCAAATAATCTGTGATTCGTTGCTGTCTTCCGTCAATGTGGTTTTTATTGCTAAACAGAATAATATTTATTACATATTTTTGTACAACTACTACTCTCAGGAAGTGGATTGTATTTGAAATACTGAAAGCTTCATTTTTCCGACCTTAGAGGTCGATTTGTAACATCAGATTTCAAAATGTGTTTTGGTCTACTGTCACTGACTTTGTTGATTTTATCTAAACATTTGCTAATTCCAACGTGAATGTTATGCAGGAACATTTGCGATAGTAACTGGAAACTGAATGCAATTCACACTAATCCTGACAGTTTCTCGACACAGAATCTGCTAATGAAAACAAGCAGTTGAAAGAAAGTCCTATCCTTCTTTTCACAGGATATTTCAACACCTCATGGGCCATGGTGTGCACCGTGAGATTTGTATTTCGGGCTAGGAGGGGATGAACAGAAGGATGCAGGTACAATCTCATCCTAGATTCAGGCGGTCTTCTGTTGCGCCCAATTCTTATACACTCGTTTTATTATCACTCCCATGGGAAATTATGCATATGACTTCCCCCGATGTCATATGCAACCATGGGATGAATTATTCTAGCCCTTTCGATAATACCGTAGCAAGTACGTAAATTTACTAGCAAATGATTTGTAAGCGGTTTGAGGAGGGTAGGTGCATCCACTGGCTTTTGCATTATCGACACGCCCTAAGCTAAAGCACTGGGTCCAGATACCCGTATTATCGCCGTCGCGAGGGTCAAACCACACGGAAGAACGAGCATGAGCATCGCCCCCCACCCAGCTATTTATGACCTTATCAACCAATACTTGACCTACCAGATACTTATCACAACCACAAAATTCTGATTTAGCGTGCATCTCCAGCTGCACGTGAACGATCACTTCCTAAACCGGTCCAACTGCTAGGGGCATGCCGAATCAGGAAAGCGCCAGTCTCATTAGTAGAATTTGTGGGAAACTGACCCTCCTTCATCAGTTCATTTGTAAATTGCTATGAACGTTCGTTTCTTAATTTAAACCGAAAATTGAGCTAACCGCAAGCCTCGCTGATGTATTATGCCGATTCTCTGTCGAAATCCACCTACATGCGGTTCTCATAAAACTACTACCCATCACAAAAAAAACAAACACAAGCACCGCATGAAAAACCGCCCTTGCTTATCATGAACAGCTAAGGGAAGGGGGAGGGGTGCATAGAAACACAATGAAGCACATGCTCTGCCTAGGAGATCTCCGCGTCCAACATAGTGGGAGCCTTAATGACAGCATTGGGGCTGTTCTTCAGCTTCCAGGGTACACCCTTGTAGGTGGCCAGGTGTGCACCGTCCACGCGCATATCCGGCTTCACCTGTTCCCACACCTTTTTCTTGGGGTGTAGTTGAGCATCCGGTTCGCCTGAAGGAAAGGCATGAAAGAGAAGGGTGAACTTAGTTGAATTACTTAAGTGGAACAAAATCTCCAACCACGACCATCAGTATAGTTCATAATTTATTCTTAACCGAGAATCATGGTCCAAAATCCATTAAAATTTGCGAAGTACGCCAACAGTACAACAGTTTTTCCAAGAGGTGAATGCCTCTTGCAGTTACAAATAGTGCGTAGCACAAAGTTACAGGGAATGCCTGCAACCTGACCTTTATAACTTTCCAGGAGCTTCTTTCTTAACTAATTTCAAGACGCTCTGGAACGTCTCGGGAATCGCGCTCTCGTTTGGTTCCCCTGACTGGCAAATACCACATGCAAATAAGCATTTAATTTGTTAATAATCACAAACATTAATGTTAATTAAAATACTACAGGTATACGAGAATGAATAAGACTACCCCACATCTTTATTAGTCAGCTGTGGACGCTTACGCGTATGCTGTCCGCCAAATACGTATATAAGTGGTGGGGAAGTCTTTGTATTTGATCATTTTAGTTGAGAACTCAACAGGATCCAGCCGCACGCAAATGAACAACAATTAATGACAAGTTCGGCGCACCTTTAATTCTCCGCAAAACGAAGCTACTGAAGAATCTAAATTCCGGATGACTGAACATCAGAAAAAGAAACTTCGTAAGGATAACAAAACAAATAACTTGAGGTCCTCCTACAATCCACGCTGTAGTTACCGACCATTTTTAAGATATGCATAGAGGGATTCCACTAGTCATAGAATAAAACCGAAGGTGAAGCAACCACGTAGTCCTTCCCTCAATAATGATCTCTAGGGTATTCGATTCCAAGGCATCAAAGTGGACAAAAACTTCTACAGAATCAATTGTTAACCATCTCGATTAGGCAACTGACTCCGAGGATCTTCATTTGACTCATTATGATTCATATCTACTAGGAGAACAGTCTGAAAATCCTTTCAAGTCTTCCGCATTAATTCGAGACGAAAACAAATACAACTTCAAGGTTCTGAAGTCATTGGGAATTTGGCACAATCCGGATGGAACGAAAACAAAAAATCGAATGCCTCCAGAGACCAAGACCCCTTGATAGAATACTTAAACGTCAACTTACCGGGATAGCCCTGTACGTAGACCCTGTCACCTAGCGTGAGTTCTGTCGGGTTTTCGATAACCAGAGGTTCCACTCTATCATTGACGTCGGTGGCGCACATCAGCATACCCTGAGACTCGATACCGCGCATCTTGACGGGTTTGAGATTGCACATAAAGATGCCCATTAATCCACGCATCTTCTCAATGGGCACATGTGGCACGAGACCGCTGATCACGGTGCGGAGTTTACCTTCGCCCATATCCACCTTACATGAGAGAATAAAAGAACCCACCATATGGGAGTTGAAAGTTGGCAAATAACAGTCACTATGGGAGATCTGGAATGTTCAGTGGATTTGATAATTAATGAATTTTCAGGGGATAGAGCTCCCTGAAGAATATAAACCATAAAATAACAAAAAACCTTTCCAAGATCTAAGCTGTGACACTAAATAATCAGATAACTATACAGCTAGATTAGCCATCTTGATGTTCCGAAATGGCTAGTCAATTGTCACAAAGTTGGGTGAACTTTCAAAAGATATCCTCGCGAATAATCTATTTAGGGAAGCTGCAATGCCTACTGAATTTCTGAAAATCCATTCTGTGCAACCTTTAGGGCGATTGAAAAAATCTTGATTCAGCTCTTAAATTTTCTGGTGCTTCAAAATGTGAACTAGTCTATCAAAAATCAGGCTATCATTACCTTCAAGGTATTCGAAGGACAATTTGTGCAAGATCAGGAATAGGGATAGTTGAATAGCCCCATTGGATTTAGCTTGTTTTAAAACGTCCTCATGAAAAACAAAGTTGAAAATGATATCCCCAGATTCCAATGCTGTGAACTACCGCCATTGCAATCCAATAAGTTTTCAAGAGAAAATAAGTTCAAACTAACTCTCTTCACGCTAAGGCACTCAAAACACGCCTTGGAGGAAAGAAGTCACACGAAAAAAAGTGCACCTGTATTCAGTATGCGATTCTGCTTATTGAAAATTCCAACGGATGAATTTTGATTTACGACTTTGAAGACGGCCAGGACATAGTTATCTGAAGAAACCGCAGTAATTCCATTTCAATAATTTGAAATTCCTTGTCATTTGGGCATATAAAATAACCAATCAGATACCATAAAATTTGGATCCGGTTGGTATAAAATATGAGTCTTTCCAAAGGATTTTATCTTGGGAAGGATTGAAGTACCGAAAAAACGCGTCTGGGTCCCCCAAAGCTTTGCCGATTGAGAACGCAGGCCAGTGCTTTTCAGCAATACAACTAGCAAGAAATTCGGGACATCTAACAAACGTTACCCTAAAGGAAATAGGAAAAGTTCTAACAAGGCTTAAAAACCGCCACTACCACCATCTTGACGGAAAATTATCAGAAAAAGTTCAGCCGACATAACCTATAGAAAAAAATTCCCAAAAGAAATCTGTTTCTTCAGCCCTAATTTTATATGGGCGGAAGTTTTGGAAATCAAACTATCTTGAAAGAACCATAGAAACGTTTGAGGTTTTCTAGCAAGGACCCGACCGTAGAGGAAACGCTTTGACAATTTAGAATGTAAGAAGATCTGCCAAAAATCTATTTGGCGGGAAGAGAATGATAAAGTTTGGACCAAAAAATTACTTCCAGAGGTAGGAACACTCCTTCAAAAACCACTAAATGGGGACATTCAGAAAAATCAGAAAAAAAAAATTTACTTGAGGAAGCAACTTACAGGTGAATAGGAACTAATTTAAATAGCTGAAATTCAGGCTGGTGACAACAAAAACAGGCTAAATCGAGTTGGAACCAATTTTTGGGCGCTCAAAAGTCATTTTCCTAGAAGGGGATGGGAATTACTTCACCACTCCCAGGAAGCCTCGATAAAAGTTGCGTTATGTTCTGCAAAATGCCTCAACTACCCTTATCAAAAAGTATAAACAAACACTACACTACCGATGCCACCAGTAGGACGATAGACCACCTGGAAGGAAAGCGATTCCAACTGACCTTTTCTACATAAAGTGAATCCGCATCAGGATGTCGTTCCACCTCCACAATTTTGCCCACCCGCATGTCTATACGACTGACGTCAACGGGTAGATCTCCACCCTTCTTTCCGCCTTTTGTTGGAGGCACCGGTTTAGCGACAGGAGGGGAGAGTTTTTTATCTGAGTTACAAGAAAGGGAGAACGGTTATTGTCGACTTTACGAATGATGCAAGTATAATGTAACGACACAATCCCATTAATATGAAATAGATGAATTGATAAATTAATGTGAAATAAGCCCCTTTATTTTAAGAAAAAAGGAAGAAAGCCGTTGCTGAGCTTATGGGTCGAATTACTAGAAAATACTAGTGACCAAATTTCAATTACAAAAAATGGTACAAAAGAGGGCAACTCTGGGCCTTCGAAACATGAGGGCGACAGCAAAAGAAACACCAAGTGCGGTTGCTTCTCCCTCTCTGTAAAGCCAGCAGTTTGACCGCAGTAGAAATGGGCTTTGGACTACCTTAAAAAAGGAGTAAGGGGGCAGCTATCGACTTCGGACCTGTCATTACCAAATCCCTTCAATTAATGCATGCGAGAGAACATCCACCGATGGCAACGAAAACGCCTCGTTGATAACCTACTTGGTACACCCTACTTAATGAATTTCCCACTTTACCTGAGAGACAAGGAAAAACTAACTCTTCATTTGATAAATATTACACAATCTCCTCAAGTGGTATCCGTGATCGGACAGACAGCACCAGCACGAGGCTACTACATTGGTCAGCAAGCACTGAAGGTGCATCATTTTGCCTATTTACTGATGAGTGAAGGACTTTTGGTTGCAACAAATGTCAACTAAACACCCCCAATTTTCATCGTAAAAAAACAGATGTGACCGATTATTTCGAAAAAAAATGTTACATTTTGAACTGATCGGTACGCGCAACCATTCTAGTGGTTAAAACTGTAAGATTGACAAGCTGGCTAAACCAAAAAATGCACCAAGAAATGTTAAGGTGAATACTAGATACATGGCGTTTACTCACAAAACGTACTCAATTTAAAGCGGAAAAATATTGTGAGAACTCGATGACGAGGGAATAACGAATTAACGAATTAGCACCAACCATGCAACCCAAAGCACAATATGGCAGTCCTAATTTCAATTGCAAATTCTAACACAGAATTAAGTTAAACGGAAAGAGCGTACCAGGTTCGTCGCATTGACGAACCGAGGTATCCGGAATACTAGATTTCGAGTTTCCAACGGGGTTATCCGAAGGTAAAGGGAGAAAGAATTGAAGGTCTACAAGAAAACCTGTCAAAAATAGGAAAACAACTTACAACCAGCTATGATTTCCAGATTAATCAATTTTTTCTTAAGAGCACCAATTTCTCGTTTGAGATGAATGTTGCTTTTGGCATAAACCTGTTCGGCATGTTCAATTGCGTTTTCATCAGAATTGGTGAGAAGTTCGATCTTATCTCTGACGGAGGCGACAAGTTGTTCAGAGGTCATCTTCATTAATGTATGGACTGAAAAATAGAAAACACACATTAAGTCTTTCAAAAGTAGAGTCCTTAATAAGATCATATAACGTAGAGGTAAATAACGAGCTTCGCCAAGTATGTTGCCTACTCCACTCTTGCAAAAGCAAAAATCTATCAAAAAACCGCATTTGGGACATTACTGACCAGGCGGGAAAAATATCCCGACACTAACAGTAATGCAAAAGTCACAATCACTTAATTTGCGCCTCATTTGCTTAAATATTTGCTGTGTAACTGGATTTAGTACTTGTGATTCCAGTAGCAAATCACAAAAAGCAAAACAAGTACCGAGATCCGCGGAGCACCAAACGGCGGCAGCCTACTCGACCGGGCCCTAAATTAACTGCAGTCCGGGTCCATGTTTTTGGTAGCCTGGCTAAACACAATTAATAACTTTTATTTTTATTATTTTTCGTTTTAACTTTCAAAAAGTTTTTTGGTCTTACGTAATGCAAAAACTTAATTGAAATGCAGCAAGGAAGGCGGGCTATCTGGTCTGGGGTCCTCGTGTACGTTGGTTGTGTGCTTCGTGTTTAGGTTCTTATATCTCCATTTATTTGCTGAAACCATTTGAAAGCCTGTGTATGAATAAAGTTGCTGTTTTTTCTAAGATGGCCCTTCCCACAAATTGGTTGTTTAGAGCCCCAACTAACACTTCTACCCCCATGTAGTTCCACCTTTTTTTAATTCTTTCGCAGGTCTACCCCTGCCATATGGTCTAAACCATGAAGTCAGTCAGAACGCTTAGCACAGTAGTAAGCACATATGGTCTTCGTGGCTTTGCGCTGGCTGCACGATGTCATAAACAGTTTTATCGATCCATCTCAATATACGCGCCAAATTTCTCTTCCAATGGGTCTACCAATACCCTTCCTTCTGTTGAGAAACCATCTCGTCCAATAATTATTCCGCCGGAGGAATTGATGACATATATCACTAGTGTAAGTGTCCTTCTGTAGCATTTTTTTTCTAATCGGCTTGTAGGAACGTCACACCTTAGATCAGCTTCTCAATATCGATATACGAGAATTCCCCTGCGAATTGCGTCTGACTTGTTTAGAAGCCGTTCTTCAAACCGCACTCTTCACCCTCTCTTATTCCTCTCCCTTCGACCGGTACACTCTAGCGGTCGCAAACAGTCTCGGTATTGAGCCCTCGTCCACTGCCGTCCTCGCCTTTCTTCCAGCTTTCACGGCCTTTTCCACTGATTCTGCGTGGCTATCTGACCCTCGTTTCCGCCTCCTTCTACTTAGCACCGTTGCTGGGGCTCGAAATCTTCCTCGTCCACGTATTCTCGTCCTAGCTGCATGTATCCGGCAGCTTCCCGATAACACGAACTCAAAATCTCTTTCTTCTGTTCTTCGTCTCATCACCCATCTTATTAATGACTGCAGCATCTCCGAGCTTGTCTATATCTGTGCTCTGCTGCGCGATCTTCCACGCAAGCCGGTGTCTGTTAATTCTACCGGCCTCTCTCCTCTCAGTGTTGAAGCAGATCTTCTTAGAGACGCTCTACGTCGTCATCTAATGTCTCGGTTGCTCGAAGTGGAAAGCTTAGGTCTTCTTGCTCTTCTCAGATTAGCCCACGACTTTGGTCCAGATTTAGCTGCTAATCGAACGGATGCAATGCGGTTTAGCGCATCGCTAGAAACAGTGATTTCAACAAGGCTAAAGGAGCAGAATCTCTTCACGTTATGTCTTCTCTGCTCGGTCTTGCAAAGGATGCAGACTTTCCGACCGGGTCTCATTCGTAGATGTCTTGGTCAAATTCGACGCAAGCTCCACCTAACCTTGAACTATCCCTCAACCGACCAAAGTGGCTGGTTGGCTGGCGCACTTGCGGCTTTAGCCAATCTGGCAGTAGGTAACTTGGATTCCCGGCCGGCGAAAGCCACATTTTCTGCTGACCAATTTTCCCTCTTACCTTGTGAAATGAATCTTCTTGATCCCAAAACCCAGCATCTCTTGCCCTTTGGGTTCTCGTACGGCCTTGATATCCACCCCTTGTTTACTGCTGATTGGGCACGTCAGCTTTTCTTTGATGTTGCTGATTATGTGAGTGAACGCCTGAATTCGGGGAATTGTGATGCCGAATCGGCTATGCGGACCACATTGGCTCTACTCCTACTCGGTGTACGCCATGAAAAGCTTCTTAGTCAACAAAAACCGGTTATTAAGGCGTTTGCGGACTTACTTATTGGCCAATCGAGTGTTCTGCTTCCGGCCAAAGAAATGTCGGGCTTTGAAACTCCTATGGCTTACACTCCACCCGAATCTCGTTAGTTACTCTCCACGTTAAGAAACTCCCTTGGTTCCGACGGCTTAATTAACTGGGTTTTATCCTTACAGTCGCTCTGGTACCACATTTACCCAGGGTGGACTGGCAAATGTACTATGAGTTGTCCGGCATTGCAAAGATGAAGGGACTATCTCAACTAACGCCAAGACAACGCGAACTACTCCGGGCCTACGTGATCTTGAAGAAACCGACTGTGGAGGAATATATAACACATTTGCAGGGACGAGTCAGTGCTGTACATGGGGTTGAGATTTTGCCTTTCCATGTGCTCGAGACACATTCGAGAGATCAACTGTTTGCTGGTATGCGCTACTATTGTTATTTAAGTAGCAGAAAACCCCCTTAATGAACTAATCTTTTGTGAAGCATTGTTTTTTGGCGACCTCGAAGGGCTTTGTCAGCTATTTATTATTTTAGATTTTGTTGTTCGTAAGGTGTCCTCTTTGGATCCAGGTTCGTCACGCCTCTAGTCTTTCTATAGGATTTATTTTGAATTAATATTTAAAGGTGACTTAACTCTTTAGCCGTTTCGAAGTACGCGCTTTGTTTTCTACTCTGGAAACGCGATGATTTGGTATCGCAACCTTTCAATTCGCTTCTGGTGTCGTACAAAAGCGTCGCTTCAATTCCTGTTGCTCCAGTAGGTTTCTCCTTTTTAGTTTAACTTTGTGGTTTTCACTAATGGCAAATTCTTGTGGCATTTAAAGCGATCTCGAAGATGTTTCACAAAAAGAATATGTTTTTGTAGTTCAACCAATGTCACACTAACGGATCGCGGCAAATTTGGTCCCAGAGAAGTTGATGATTTCAGCAAAGTATTAGTATTTGATATGAATGTTATTTTATCAAACTAAATGTCAAATTCAAAGCAATGCCAAAATCTCTGATAAATAAGAATTTATCATATCATTTGAATCGTTTAAGTCTGTGAAAGATGTATTTGGTGAATTCCCACCCTTTCTTATGATAATCTTTCCCTTTTAATCGACCTGAAGCAGCTTAATTTTTTTTATTTCTTTATGGAATTCATCTTTTAACAATCGTTTTGTGTTAATAGGCTTATGAAATAATGGGTCATTTAAGAATTTTCGTCATAGTAGGCGGTTTTGAATTTGAAAGTGCAAGATCTGAGTAAGATAAAGGCCAGGGTGGATAATACGGGTGAAGGGAAAGCGGCTCTAGAGGGCGGAACCAAATTAGTTGATCTCAATCTTTGGAATATTCAGTGACCGTTTGTTAACTTCTGAACAATCATCTATCTAGATTAGTTTTATTGCAGTCATGGGAAATTAAGCCAAGAATTCATTTATGAATATGAGTTTTATAGTGGAGCAGAGCCGATGACAGCTCGACGGTCAGAGTGCCTGGCTAGCTTACAATTAATGTTCGTCAATGATTTGAATATTGGGTTCTATTCTGGAAGAGAGGCTTTTGGGTGAGGTAGGAACAACTGTAGTGGAAAGAAGTGACAGATATGTCCATTCACCAGTGTTAAATTACAGACAAATTAACGACAATCTAATAAAATACACAGCAAGAGCCTAAAGGCAGAAGCTGGGTTTGAAAGTTGATTTAATTGCTCTAAAACTACTTTGCTTTTCTGTTTGCTTTATGCCTATAGACCCTTTACTGCGGTTGGCTATCAACACAAGAAGGTAATCACCGCCGTGATGCTTTCCTAAAGAACCTGGCCTTGCGTCTAGCTGAGGATTCTGGAGTTCCAACCACTGCTACGAAGGCTCGACCTCTTCGCGAAGTGGTCAGTTTTGACCAGTTCCCTGTAAACGTTGAGTAAAGTGACAACCTAGCCCAATGCTTTGTTGACTCCCATTCATTATTCAGGAGTTCGCCATATTGTTATGAACTTTTGAAATGTATCACTACGGTTGATGTTAATCGAGTCTCCAGATCAGTCCATCGAACTATGATATAGTTGCTTTGGGCAGCTTACTATGTTACATAGCGGGGCGGTTCGTTTATTGAAAAGATTTTTCAAGAAATTCATGAGAGGAATCGAAAATGGTGGAAGTGGATGGGGAATCAGCATTGGTCGCGCCTATTCAGGTCTATATTGACATATGTTCTACTTGAGTTGCCTTGCAAGTGGGTAGGGTTTTCTCTTGAAGAAACATCGTCTATAAATGGATTGTAAGGTCCTCCAGGTGGACAGTCAGCTGCATTGACAATTGAAAGAAATGCAAACGAACTCGGTAACAGATTTGGGAAAATGAGCGAAGAACGGTTGATGGGGTCATAGAAGAGCCGAATGTAGGCGTTAACTGTGTCTATTTTCTGACCCATTATATCATTGATCCCAGTATGAAAGTGATTTGAGTTCCGAGGAGAATGGATAAATCTCTTACCTTTGGACCCAGTAAAACAAGAACATGGCAAGACATATTAGGTTCGCTTCATAAGGATTCGCAGTTGATGATATCCTTCTGCTCAGAATAGGATTCAATATTTCGTTAAAACGGGGAGAATTTCTTAATGGCAAAAGCCGACCGGATAGCTTCCTCAACAAAGAGAGGCGCGGGTGGAGTCGTTTTGTGAGTATTCCCAAAAGGCGTGAAATTATGGGAGAATATGGATGTTTTTTGAGGAAGTAGATGAAGCACGTCAGCTCATGCTTATCACTCCATACTGGACGGCAATGTCTGGTCAAATGCGCGGCTTCCCGAGAAACCCTAGATTGACGTGTCACTGCTAAGTAGAACAGGAGTTTATTATCTAGATGTCAAATGGAAATTTCAGCACTTATTAATATGGGCGAGAACAAGACGCGTCACTTACACCAACATCAATTGAGGTTGAGGAGGCTGATGAAAGCAGGTGGATCCTACTTATACGCATCAACAAGAGTTGACAAGGAGCTCCAAAAAACCTGGCTTGTTTCTACGTTTCTTTTTACGTACGCTATGCAAAAGTGGTTTACTAGTTTAAAATTTCTGCTGAGTGGTACACCGATCCCTTGTAATGTGAAATGTCCATTGGGCATTTATGCTGCAACCAGTAAACAGGCGAATGTATCAGGTGTTATAACTATCATCACTTTTTTGAGTGGTCGGTATTCAAGACTTTGTTAACTGAAGCCGTATCCCTTGATTGCCCTAATCGGGGACTCGTCGTTGCCACCGAAAGAAAACAATCAGGACAATAGCGCAACTCAAGAAAGTGACATTTGATTACCTGGTGTTATGTTTCAAGATATTAGATTCTTCCGTTACCTTGAAATGGTGTGATTTTGTAGTCACAAAATCCCAATAGGTTACAACGGAATGTTTTTTCCGAGTGGATCTGTCATCGACCTCTATGTTTAGTTTGCTGCCATGGTTCCGGTTCAGATCTGCCTTCCATGTGCCCGTCTGAAGTTGAATATAGATATAATCAAAAGTTGTCACCGGTTATTGGCTGTCAAGCTTGATAGTCATTAACGAAATCAGCTCTTCGCTTGTGGATACGTCGAAATTTTCTTGAATTTAGAAGACAAATCCAAAATTGCACCCTTTTAAGTCCACATCGTCTTGAGTTTCACTTAGTGTATTGCACTTTCAAACTGAGTGGGTAGGTAGGTAGACAATTCAAGCATGTTGGATAAACAAACCTGTCAGACAAATACTTAAGTCACAGTGCATTGCAGCGTCCGTTAGTAACAGCCCACATCCGAACAGGATAGCAGTTAGGTGAGTTGGTGTTTTGTTTGCTAAACTATGATTAACACAACTTTTACCTCCTGTGACATTCAGATTTGGCCATTAGTTCTTGAATACACGAGTTTTGTCCGTTTGGACCGAGTTCATTCAACGCTGCCGTCATTTTGACGCACCGAGCCTTCCCTTAAATCGTAATAAGACATACCGCTTTAAAGGAATTTTTATTGTTATCACACAGAGTGGTTACGATGTATAAACCGCGGTAACTGAGGCGCCTGGGCAGTCAAATGTGAAACCGAAAACTGGAGGCTATTGCACATCGTTCAATTTTCAAGGTTCTAAATCACGTTTTCTCGATTTTATCGCCACAAGATCTTTGCATTTTTTAATCTTTGAGATTACTCAGACAAGGGTGCTAATTTGGATGCTAAAACGGAGGATCTTGACCCTGTTGTAGGCTTGTTTTGAGCGTTCTCTGTAATGCTTCGTTTCGTTGCGGTGACAACGACAAATTTTCACCCTGCTACTAACTATGAAACAAAGAGAGTGGTTACGTGACACCATTAAAATGGCAGGGGAATGTTCATAATTGTATCATGGATTTCACTGGTATTTGTGTCCTCTTCTACTTAGGTATCCCTGACGATGTAGTAAGATACTTCGAGTTCGACAGCGGTATCAATGTGCACGCACAGAGGGCCTTGAAAACTAGTGAATTTGGGGACAAAATCATGGGAAATTATCGTAAAGCGCATGCGATCAAACAGAATGCTCTTCCATCATAAAACAAGCTGTATTGGAATTATTCAGCAAACCCTCATATCGTGCATTTAAGTCTAAAATATGTTCTACCATTGCTTGAAAATAGACGCAACCTTCTCATTTCTTTCATCGGAAAACTTTGCTATGAAGTGATTATCAAATTAACATCAAATAAATCTCCGTCCAGATCTTGGATAAAACTCAGTTTGGAAGGTTATCGAACATGCGCCTTTTGAGCCGCTTTCACAATACTAGATGAACTATTGTGTGGCTTAACAGATGTGGAAGTTGACCAACACCATTTATGCGCAAACCATAGACAATCTCATTTTAGTGACAAGTTTCAAAGATCAATGGGCCGCAGCATTCAATCCAGAGTTATGTGGGCGCTGACTTTGTTGCTATTAACATCGGCACAATCACTCGGAGAGGATGTTCAAGTTTTCATCGAAGAGGAACATCATGAGGGTAACCTACTTTATCTCACTTAAATTCACCGAGGACACTAAACACGGTATTCAGTGCTGCTTGAAATAAATATAATCTTCAGAAAGCCTTAAATAGCCATTGTCAAGGAAAAAACAACTTACACCACTTACTCTACCATACATTTCATCGAAAACAGCAAAGTTATTAAAAACGCAAAATAATGACAGGCATAAAGTGTGTGGGTGGCGTCAATAAACATCGAAAGAGAACACTCGTGGGATAAGTAGCTGTTGCATCAAATCTGACTATCTTCTTTTAACCATAAAACTTTTGAATTCCAGTTATTTTACACTGGATAAGCGCTCTCGAGCGGAAGGGGTGGCCAAAAGCAGATTTGGTAGGTTTCAAGTATTTAAGAATATTACAGGAATGTCATTGCAATTACTCAAGGTCCAAGGATTACTTGTAGTTTATCTTTTCTATCTGATAGCCTAAAACAATGTAAATGAAATAATTCCTATTTTACTTCTCCCATCTCTGAAAATATAGGTGCTTATTATATTGCCCATTTTATGACCATTTTCGGAACTTGACGGCAGTGTACGCTTTACACTGTCGAAAATTGAGGAAAAGTAAAAATCCGTAGATTAACTTGTAAATTGGTAAAGTACATTTCTGGAACAATGTGCCAACAATCAAGTAATTGTAAAAGACGCCTAAGATATTCTATTCGCTAAAATATTCGTATTTGCAGTCCATAATCTAAGAAATAAAAACTCTCTTGGTAGGCCACTTTTCCGATCCCCTTTGCTAGTAAAAGCAAAACTTCTAGCCCCTACTATCAACGCTTCTATCTAAGTCTTATTTGCAAACTGATTACCTTGAGAGATGGTGGCACACTATGAGAAGCTGTTAAAAACCTGAACAACTTAACACGAAATTGAAAGTGTCAAATTCCAAAGCCACTAGATTGAATTCGACTAATCCCCTCGTTTCATATACTTCTACCATAGCAAAAGTATTCTACATAGTAGATCCACATTGATGGACACAGTGACATGGATTATCCAGAACTTGTCAACAGTCTGCCGGTTGGACATGTCCCAAACTCGCCGAGCCAAATTTCCGCAATGATGCAACGCAACGACCAATTCATTCAGGTGAGTTTCGAGTAAACGTAGATCTTAAATTTTTTGTATTTCTTGGCTCCAGCCCCGTTGTCCTACCTATGTCAACACTCGCAGTCGACGTCCCATATATGTGACGTCCTGACTTTATTAGCTCTTCCCGTACGTCGCACGTGATATTAAGTCAGTTATGGGTACGACTAGAAGGTATGACGTAAAAAGGAAACATAAATTATGGGACTGAAGAGCCTGTGTAGTTAAATGTACGCTAAGCGAATATCGTACCACTTTATTATTCCATCCGTTCGAATGTCATTTCCGGGGTTGCCTGTGGTCTCCCTTCCACTTTTTCCCTAACGAGGCCTAGTGTGAACTGCAACTGACCGAAAAACAGATCAGGGTAACTCGATGAATTCTTACTTAGGGAATAAATGGTACTCATTCATGATGTAGATCTGGTTTGAATTTTGATGGTCGCGGGCTCTTGGGGGCGAAATATATTGGAGAAGAATGGATTTAGGAGATGGTGTAGGGCGACATGCAACAGTGGGCCTATTCATCTTCTTATTCACATTTTGCAGCAATATTTGCTTGGGAGCAAAGTATTAAGAAAGCACCTTAGATCCATACTATTGAGTCATACATTGAAGTCAATTGACCTCGCTTTATAAGTAGCCAGACCTCAAAATTTGAAATTAGCCAAAAACAAACATCACTTTAACATCTTAAACCAGCAGAATTTTTCAACTTCTTTAAAAAAATTGTTAATGAAGTGTTTGTACCAAAACCCTTTGGTATTTTGTTTTCATGACCCAAATAGAACTCAACTTTACCCCCATTAAATTCTGTCAATTTTTTACCTAACGTCTTAATTTTACTTAATTTTTATCTTGTCGCCTAATTATCTCAGGTCTATTTAAAAAAAGGAAATATATAGGGCGAATTCATTAAATAACTACTTCTGATGTCTTTTTTACCAAAGGCCAACAAGCTATTTGAAACAAATGAGTACACAATGTTAAATCCAGTTAAATGTTGTGCTTATTATCAGGCAGCCATTGTGGGCAACTTGATTCGCTCCGTTTATATAATTCTTCCCACGTGGACTTCCAACGAAAGTGTCGCCTTCAATGCCTCGATTGGTAAAACATCCAAAAATTTCACTAACAGGCACCAGCTCTGCCTCTGCTTTACCGACCAAAACTCCAACAAGAATGAAACCTGCCAAACCCGAAGTCTGGGATCTGAAGACACAGAACTGCAAATTTTACCTCACCTCTGCACACCTCGAATTTCCTCATACCGTCACGTGGAACTGAATTCTTACACTGCTGTTAGGGGTACGCTCCAACGAATGCTTCAAAAGCAGGATCCGGCTACCCTGATCATCGATATAGACGAGGATTTCTTTGGGGTTCAACTTCCGGCTTCAAGTCTTCTCCAGAATGATTGTGATCTGATCGACCTTTTTGAAATCTCCAACACATTTCATAGTATTTTCTGTCCTCCGGTCAGTATGACTGGAGCAGAAGAACTCGAGATCGATTCCTGGTTTCAGCAAACCATCAAGTCATTCGCCATGGCTGGATGCTTTTCTCCTACTGTGTGCTTAGATATGTATTATAACTCCAGTCTTCCAATCTGCTGTCGGAGTGAAATTTTAAGAGTTGCATCCACATTAAACTCACATTGGAGATGTCAGAATATGGCACGTGTAGTCTTTTATATGGAACGTTTGGTAATTTTGTTATCTTACCAAACAGACAAAGCATTAAAGGCAATATCAGAGACGGGAATATGCTTGGAAGCTGCCAGCAGAACTTTCCAGACCAAACCGAAAATAGGCCTTTGTTTAGGGCACAATCTTCCAGGAGCTTCTGTTGTTCCGGAGTTTGTTCCATCCTACAAAAATATCGTAGGACTGGCTCGGAATATGACTCGCATCCTGAATGCTACCCTTGCCAGAAGACCAATTGTTATCACAATTGCGAGGTCGTCTCGGGACGGTTATGTGGTACGAAAGTTGCAACCGATGATTGAATTGGCAATCAAGATGGTACTGAAACGTGTGTTTAATCTCACGGATGCAAATTTCCACTATTCAGATTATTTGGCTGGTGGCAAAATTGGTTGGGTGGATCGCTATCGTGAAACAATCAAAATATGACCTCTACTTCTGTTTGTCTTTTCAAATTACCTGCAACTTTTTTAATGATGCTGTGACATTTGAAATTTGATTTCTTGATCTCGAGATGGATTTCATGACAAGATCATTATTGCCACTAACAACAACCGGAAGCAATTAGAATCTGCATTTCTGAAAAACGACTTCAACGTCTCATCTTCAAATTCATCTAAGCATCCAAACAAAAAAGGGGCTTGATTGTGAAATCAGGGCTTCGCTTATGAACGAAGGGGCTGCTGCCTCCCTTCGTGACGCATTTAGGTAATTTACTGCAGGAAAAAAGTATTCAAATGTTGGGCAGTCTAAATTTGCTTTCTTAATTCCAACATGAAAAAGCAGGTCATGTATAACCAATTTTGCTCAGGTAAGAGAAAAAAGGTGCTTTTCCTCCCTACTGGATGTCAGTATACGAAATTGGGCGAAAAATAAAAAATCTGCAAAACGGAATTTTTTCCTGATCACGAGCGTAAAGTAGATGGAAAGGCCAAGCTAAGAAAGTAATTCCGCTAAACCTCAATTGAGTTTTCATTTCATTGTAGCTTAAATCAATTTGTCAATCAGTTAGTATGTAGTTCAGTCTTTTGAGCTCCATGCCATCTCTGTTTGATGCATGTGAGTAGAATCTCTTTGCTTCCACTCACTTTCACCACGACTTTCCAAACCAAGTTGATGTAGGTGTGACCGAACTGTTTCATTGGCACTCACATCTAGCAGTACTCAAATTTCTAGTTTTTACACTGACTTGTTCTTCAACTCATTAGTGGGTGACACACTAATGCCTAATCTTGTTTAGAAAAGGTGAACTTCCTAAACGTGATATAAAATTTTTGATTAACTTATTAGCAAAATGGAGTTATTTGTTTAGGCCACTTGATTCTGCTAATAAATATCACGCAGTTTGTCGTGAAAGGTCCGCATCTGCAGACCTCTGGCCAAATCACATCTGGTAGATTAAACGGGCATTGAATACTGTGGTGGGAAAAAGGGTAGGAAGAAATATCGGCTACTGCTGACTGACTTATAATTGTGCCTTAAATCCATCTAAATGAGCTCATTTTGTAAGTCCCTACATATTACTACGGCCTATTGGATTGAGCTGTGCCCGAAAACCCCCACGAACATTTTTGGTCAGCTGCCATTTTTACTTTTAGCTACACGATATCGCCCAATTCGCATGAAATAGCCTTCATACTGGTAGCATGAAACCCCCTTTGCTTCATCAACGCTACCAGTTTTCCAGCTCAAATACCAGATTGACACGCACCATAATTTATCACAAATAACCTGATCGTTGCATTGGTGGTAGCGTTGGTGAATCTGGATCAATTCAAGGTAATTCCAAATTCCCCGTCTGGGCGTTTTGCACAAGTGTCGTAGAAAAAGCATCTGCTTTGTTCGAGTGGCTGCAAAACCAGCAAGAGCAGAGGTAACGCCACCGTATATTGGCAGTTGTCACAGCTCTTAATGCAAATTTTGGCGAAAAGGCCAGAAGTGAAAACGCGGTCAAATGTAAAAAAAACTTAAATCGTAAACAAAAAAACTACCCATAATGACAACGGTAAGGCATGAGAGAATGGTGTGTACTTCTCGTGTGTTCATTTTGCAAGATATTGAAAATAACCCAGACAAGTGGCTGGACAACTAATAGCGAAGTGATGGGGGAGAAAAAAAGCAGAAAACGGCTATTAATTTACGTGACAATGTGCAATTTCCAAATTGCTTTTAGTTCAGGCAAACGCTTCCGTGTTAACGCAGCTGGGCAGGAATGCATTGAGGACCGATTGAGATCTGCGTAATGGTAGATACTTTGGTACATTTTTAGACCTTTTCTCACGGGTTATTTAACTTCGCATCAGCACGTTTACAAGGGTCGAGGCAAGATAGTAGTCGTCAAAACAACTGATACCGATGTCGGAGACGAGAAGTTCTCCTATTGTCAACTTTACACTAATCACCTAAGCCTTCTGTAATTGCATAAAGAACCAACCTCTATTCCGAGTATCTTAAGGTCTTGAGGAGGACTCGACCAACACACTACTTAAGAGTTTGGAGATGAATAACTAGAAAACCTTGATTTGTCATATCCAATTCAAGCAAATGTTTGTACTTATCCCTTTTGCTGCCCAGTGTTGATTGGAGTAATAGCCTGGGAGGGATTCAAATCCTCCCTGATTTTGCAGCCATGTCACTTGGGTGGATATTCAAATAATAAAGACTGGAGAGACTGCATAGGTAAATGTGCATTCAAACAGATATCAAGTCACTGCATAGCCCAATTCCCCAAAGCCATTTCCACCGCGAATTCCTCAGGTAGAGAAAGGTTTTCGAGCCACTGTTCTTTAATCTAAAAGGTGAGGTCTTCCACTTGTATATAATGCTTAAATCATGGCATGAATAATTTTAAAGAGACAAATATGAAACTGTTCATTTTTGTTTCAAAGCTTTAAGCGGACTAACACCCCCTTTTATTGCTATAGCTATTGCCAACCATTTCTCCATTTCAAATTTTTTAGTAAACGTAGATAGATTTCTATGCACTTACCGGCAAAGATGACCATTATTCATCATTTGCGCCTGATTTGGACTGGAGCTTTAACCTGCGATGAATTACCAACGTCCCATTACAAGAAGCTGATTAGATGCGCGATTTCTGAGCCACAAATTCCTACTAAGTAATCCCCTACAATAGTTGCCTACCTCTCATCGGAATAACACCTATTTATCCATACTTTGTGCTCTTTCAATTCCAAACCCCAAAGTTGTTAAGGCTTAAATACATCCATTGGAAAATTCATCCATTTGTCATCATTCTCGTATGTTGCGAAACGCAATGGTCCCTCATAGATGGCTCTCAATTTCGTTGTCCGGCTTGTTGAATTGGGAGCCTTGTCCCGAAATTGGAAGCTTTCTAGTGTAACTTCTTATCTGCGTCAATTAAATCATCAAAAGAAGTGGAGGATGAGAGGGTTGTGACTTGCTGGGAGAAAATCAGTTATTTTGCTGGCGGCTTTTGATAGGGATATCACTTCTGTGACTTTCTGAGCTTCTTATATTCATTTTCAGCATAATTATTGCCTCTCCAATGCATACGCCAAGAAATCCGTGCAAATTGTAAGAGTTACATCCTTCCACCTATACAGCCGCAGTGAAATCATTCACCCACCCTGATTAGTGCTATTGTAGGCTAAATGCAGAACCAAGGCTGCCACCCCATTGGTGCATTCGCGTGCAGAGCTATTGCATGCGTATGTGCGTGCGTGTATGATGCTTTGGCATGTAGGGGAAAGGGACGAGTGTTTGGGAGAAGTAGGTGGAGAAAAAGACGTCGATGTGCACACAGTGTGGTTACGTCGGTAGCACGTGCATGTACGCATGCAGGCTCGTGTGTAAATACGTTAACAACAAAATCAACCACAGGCTATTTACCTCCCTATCTTTCCTCCTCCTCCT